AGACACGTTCTCGTGACACGATTGTCTCTCCCGTTCGTCGGGATCGGTGGATCCGAGAGATCGTCAGGTAAGTGGATTTTCCAGAGATCATTGTACTCGTACGGATAATTTTTTTTTTAATCAAAATGGAATGGACAACAACAAATTATGGAAAATGACGACGTTTAAACGATAATTTTAGCGTTCACGGTTAATGGCACGGTTTTTACAACGCGATTTTATCTCGAAGTAGATAAAGTTGAAAACAGCTGTATTCGAGTTTAAACGCGATTCGATTCGAGAATTATATATTAAAAGGGGAATAATAAAAAAATTCGCAATGGGTAAATTGTGGACAGAGATGATCGTGATTTATCGCAATATCAAATTTATCGATATATCATTGAAAAAGGACTGAGGGAATCGTGTAAATTGAATTTAAAAACTTTAAGATATTATTTGAAATATAATTAAGAAGATAAAAATGATTCGATGATAATAATTTGTGGAACATGTTTGGAGAATCGGTTTTAGGTTTGCCAAAACAAACCGCAAAAGTTTGTGTACAAAAATGTCGATTGAGAATTATTTATTAAGCAGTATTCAAGTGCAATTTGCTATTGGTGAAACAAGATAATGTAGATAATGTAAGATGACTCTTTGTCACATCTTGCTTTACTAATAAAATAAATCTCGATTGAAATTTCTTGTTTGTTTTTATCTCTCTTATAGAATGAACCCTCTTGTATAAGAGATAAAGGAGGATTTAAAAAATGAGATCGATAAGATACATAGAATAGAATTTGGAAGTTTTGGATTAAAGTTTTTTTCTTCGTAGAGCTGTTCAATTTTAAAAATACGAAAATAAAGAACGTTTCTTAAATAAAGGGTGAACAAAGAAAAATTTTGCGATATGAAAGGAGAATTCAATGTGAAATCGATCATTCCATTTTCAAAAGACAAACGTAAAAATCTTGCCGCGTGTTTATCTTGTATATCACGAGCAACCTTCGGAACATTGATTACAACGTTTCAATCAATGTCTCCGATTGTATTCGAGCGAATACAAAGTGAGTAGATAAAAGGAGAAGGAAGAGGTGAATGAATGAGGAAAAATCTTCGAATCGAAGATTTTGTTTCCTCGATTCACGAGGGAGAGAAAAAAAGAAAAAAGAAAAATAGAAGTTATTTAATCGATCAATTAGTGGCGACCGCGGCACACATTTTAAAACGATATAAAATCAAGGCTTTTCTCTTGATAACCAATTCAATCAGAGCAAGATATCCGATTTAAAAGAAACCAAGTGCAAGTTTTTCTGCACTTCTATCGTACATGTACAAGTTGTAAAGAGTTTCGTTTAATTAAATAGAGGGAAGATTTCATACGCGTTATACCATATGTACTATCAATCCTTTAAATAAATAGATATAAAATATTCTTAAATTTTTAACCGTTGCTGCGACCGAGTAAATGATTAAAAGTGGCGAAAATCGCAACTTTTTTACGACCTACAACAGTAATAAATTTTTACAACTTTCGATGCTTGTACAGCTTTTTTTTTTTACGCCGATTTTTTCGTGAAATTTTCTATACACGCGTTACACAACTTATCTGAAAAAGAATTTGCGGACGAATTCGGAGACTGTAACTTGTAAATTATTCTATACTGTAATATTATTATCCTCCGACTATCCTCCAGTGAATTATTTATCGATTGATACGTCGTAATTCCGTTGAATTCCTTTCTTCTTAATCATTCATCGAGTAATTTTATCAACGAGAATTGATACGAAGTTCGAAACGTTGATTCATATTCAATTTGCATTGAAGTTGATGGGATTTCGTCGTAAATTCAAATCGAAATTTGCAATTCGGTGCAGGTAGAGGAGAATTGGCGCGTAGATGGCCGACACGGTAAATGGTTCCTATGTAATATATATGATCCTTGACCTTAAAACCTAGAATTCCGGAACTCACGATCGACCTTCCATCGACTTCCTATAAAAATGGCCGCGTCTAGTCGAGTTCGTCAAGGTGCTGGTTTAAAAGCTTCGTTTATCGATCTTTTTTACGCCAGCACCAAAGTAGTTTTTTTACCTTTATTTATTTTTTACTTTTTTAACGAATTAAATTTCTCGAACATTTGTAAAATATTATCGTACGTTTAATACCGAGATTTATATGCCTCCCGATAAACGCTTAAATATCGATTGTCCTGTCCCAGTTAGGAAGTTTTTTTTTTTTTTTATTCATCTTGAATTATATATTTCCTCTTTGATGTTTGATTTAATTTTTGAGAATACGGGTTTACATTTGGATTTGTGAAAACACTGGATAAATGGGTATACTCGAGAATACTTTGGATTTTAAACCCTTTAAATATTCAAAAGTTTAGATAGATGGTTCAATTTCATAAGAATTCTGTGATTTTTTTTTTTTTATCAATTCCAAAAAAGTTTAAATACTTTTAAATATTCCAAGGAGAAAAATAAATTCAAGAATTCTTAAATATTTACAAACTTTTATTTCAAAATATTTCGAGAGTCAAGTTTTCAGTATTTGTAATTCTTCTTCTTCTTCTTCTTCTATTTTATTTCATGTGTGATATTGCATTTGTATGCGTTATGTTAAACGCTTATGTCATGTACATGACATACAATCGAGATCGTTATTATTCGTCGAAGCTGTATTTTCATTCATTATCAAAAGATTTTAATTAAGAGTAATGTGCGATTTACAAGGTCACTGGATAATGACTGAATCTGAAAATCCTTGACGAGTTAAAATAAAATTGTTCTTATTCCATATCCTTTTTTAAACAAATTAAATCTTGCAATAGTTCTCGAGTTTTTATATCTTATAATTTTCTTCTTATTTCAAAAAATTTTAACGAATTTTAAAAAAAAAAAACTAATAATAACATTGAATAATCAAGTAATAAGTGAAAATATAAATTTAAAAATGTTATTATATTAGAATATTTCGAGATTTTAATTTTAATGATTTTCTAAGTTTTCGAAAACTATGATATTAGATTCTTTAAATTTTTTTAAAATTCGAAAGCTTTCTTGGGGATAAGTTTTTGAATTTTCTAGAATCTTAATATTAAAGGCATTTCGATGTGGAAGAAACAGCCAATAATTACAATTTATCAACAAAAAAACATGCATATATTTATACGATGATAATTGAGATCACTCGAGAATAAAAAAAAAATCATGTTTTTCAATACAAGAATTCGATAATCGTTAATTACTCATCAAAACTGCAGAACATCTCTTGGAAATCAAATAAATAATTCATTAATGAGCATTTAATTATTGAGCAACGATGCGTCTCGTTTCCCAATGATATTATAACAATTAAAAAAAAGTTCACATTGACTCCAATGTAATAAATCTTACATCAAATTAAATTACATTTTATTAGTATTTGAAATGCCGAAATGATATAAGTATTATGAGTTTCTTTAAAAAATTAATTTTTATATCTGTTTTATATCTCCTTGAAATTTATTTAATATTAATTCACAAAATAATAAGTGTGTCATTTATCAAGTATAATAATCCAACTCCCAACCCCTACTTCCTACAACCCTAACTCAACATCCGTGCTCAAGTGGACAATATTATAATTACGATATTACCATTTTGTTCCATTATACGAATAGATTTAGTCTTCCCTTCGATGAAAAGGGTCCGAGATAGAATCGTTATGCGACCTAAACAATCATGATTGATATGCACCCTTTCCTAAATGTTATATATTTCATTATATCGTTTCTTTTCTTGATTCAGTCAATGTTTTTTGAATGAGAAATGCCTGTATTCAATCGTTATGCAATACTCGATCACAATTTTAAGCTGCACAGTGGAAAATTGGAAGTCAGGGACTTATCTTGATAAGAATTCTCAAAGGATTATCGTATACTGTTTTTCCAACGTGTTAATCCATTGTTCAGGCATCCTATTAAATCTCGAGTGTCCTGTTCGCCACTAATTGGCACTTCAATTCACAAAGGTCTCGTGAAATTATTAAGCTTTTCTCGCGGCTAGATTTAGACAAGAAGAATAGTACAGTTCTCTCTTGTTGTGTCCCTAATAAAAATTTCGATGCTTGTTTTTTTTTTTTCCGATCTTTTGCAGAAATTCAGCTCGATCGAAAGCAAAAGAGCACTTGAGAACATTGTTTGGAGGTTGAGAAGAAAATAGGAATACAAAAGAAGTATTGGGAGTAAAGTAGATTCAGTGAAAAGTCGGTACAAAGCGTTGACTGACTTTTTACGTGGATTATGGAAGAAGGGTTGGATACGAAAATGGTGAAAAACTCGGCGGATTATGTAAAGGCCATGGAGAGCAACGTGCAATCAAATCAGGTGACTGTGAATGTCTGTGAAACGGGAGCCGATTTAAAACTTGTAATCTCGTGTAATAAATCTTGAACAAATAAACGGAGTTTTCATTGTTTTGCTCACGAGTACTTTTTATTAGAGTTGAAAGTTTCTTTGATGAGGATTTGTGAACTTGAGAATGTTCAAATATTGACAATTTAACGATAACTATTAATGAAATTAGGTTTAAAGGATTCTAAATATTAGAGAAATTAATTATGATGAAAGAAAACTTAAGGAAATCCAAATAAAAAGAATAATAAATCCTTAAAGGATTTTCCAATTTAAAATTAAAAAGATTTTACAAATAGAATAAAATGTAAAAATGACCCAAATGATTTTCAAAGAGTTTTAGATATAAGATCAAGATGATCTATTTAGATACAAACAATCTAAAATTCAAAGGATTCTAGAAGTAATAGAACTTGATAAATGATGATTTAATTATTTGAGGATTTAGATATAAAACAATTTAATAGAAATCCTATTAAAGGATTCAAGAAAATTTATAATCAAATTTAGAGAATCAAGATATTATCTTAACAAAATTTTGTTAAACTCGATGAAAATTTACTATTATCAAAATTTATATTTAAAAAATTTCTAATTTGGAAAATAATTCTCTCACAGGTGAACGAGACGAAAGTGTACAAACGACGATGGCTGATTCTAATCATCTTCGTGCTGTACAGCGCTAGCAACTCGATGCAATGGATTCAATACAGCATTATTGCAAATATCATAACGATGTACTACAATGTATCCACTTTTTCAGTGGATATGACCAGCATGATATTCATGATAACTTACATTCCTTTCATCTTTCCAGCAAGTTTTGTACTCGACAAATTCGTAAGTATGATTGTTAAATTTATTATTAAATTTATTTGACTGCTTTTTATATTTTCCTGTTTGCAAAAATGATTCTTCTTATCCGTATTGCAATTAATTTTTCCTTATCCATTAAAACTAATCAATTTTATTGAGAATATCTATCTCAAGAGATGTTACATTGTGGATTGGCATTGCATAAAAGATAAAAAAACTCGTAAAAAAAAAATGTTATATCAAAACATATCATAAGATTAACAGATCAATTTTTTTAATTTTTTTCTCGATACATATCTTAATCCTGAACCTTGATCTTGAAAACAAGTATAAACACTCTATAAAATTATTATCTTTATTTTCTTTTCTTCTTGAACGTGTTAAAATATATTGCAAAGAAAGTGCGACAGAAAATCTTGACTTCATCTATCTAAACAAATTACTTTGAAGATTAATGGATCATAAGAAAATATTAGAGATATGACAGAAATTATACTTTTTTATATCTAATAACAAGATTTCTGACATTTCGAAGTACGAAGAAAAGATAAGTGTTTACCATTCTTTGTAAGAATTTTTTTTCGAAAAAATAACTTTTTTTCAGAATTCATTCCATTATTTTTCACTTAATCGTCGATTTCAGGGTCTCAGGTTCGCCGTTTTGATAGGCGCGATCGGAACGATGATCGGCTCTTGGATAAAAGTGTTTAGCGTAAGTCCAGATCGGTTCTGGATTACCTTCATTGGTCAAACATTCGTTGCTGTGAGCCAAACGTTCATCTTATCGGTTCCAGCTCATTTGGCCGCTGTTTGGTTCGATTCAAATCAGGTCAGCAGCGCGTGCAGCATCGGCGTTTTTGGAAATCAGGTGAGTTAGATGTAATTATAGATGTAAATTTTTTAATTAACTTTATATTGTTTATGATCGTACATGTATATAAGTTGTACACCTAAAATTATATGAGAGATAGATTAATTTATGTAAAGATAATTTTTCATATGAAAATATATAAAATATGTAAAAGATATAGAATCAAATACTTTAATTTCTTCTTTCATTTTTGAGGAAAATTATACTGAAAAAAATAACATTATTTTCATTAATATGTCTCTAATAATATAAGTAAACAAGCCTATTAATTAAATAATTTCCAAGCTTTGATATTTCATTATGTCTTTTTCGCGTGATCACTCAAAATGTACATCCTTTGTAAAACAATTTCGCAAGCTTTGATATTCAATATTCTTTCGGTGTAATTCAATCGTCGAACATGCTCCAATTAGTAAGCATTCGATCCAACTCTTGACAGGCAATTAATTAACCTACTCTCGAACACCTCGTGCAACATCTCTTTTCAAAAGACCCTTTCATTATTAATTTCCTATTTCCTTTATTCTCCAAAAGAGTCCTCGTTATAATACCAGATCATTGTCTCAATTATTGTCTCAAAGACATTAATTACGATCACTTTACTCGAAACAATAGCAATAGAATCGCGCACGCCAAATTTTCAACTGGATAGAGCCGAACGTATCTACACGACGTTATGTTACATATATATGCGATATAGTTGTTAAATAAATGCAGTGCTCGTAAATGGAACTCGAGTGCATATTACCTGTGTAGTAAAACTCTAATTCGAGAGACAGGGTCGTTGGAGAATTAAGTAGTGATTAGATGGGAAACAGAATCGTAACGTGCACCCACGTTTTATTTCGTGGCGGTACGAGGGGGGATCTGGGACCCCATTCAGCGAATTAAACCTATGTATTTCAAACAGATCACCCCTTCTGGTAGGAAGATAATCTATTCAAGGTGCAGCGCCGATCAGATTATTTTATCAACTTTGATATAGATTTTTTCTGGTCTCGAGTATACAGATAGTCCGGGAATCTTTAATTTGAAAAAAATATTATTAACATTTTGATCAAAGAAATTCGAGTCTTAGGATATATATTTTACAAATGTAGAAGTACAAACCTTTTTTCTTCTTATCTCAAGTATGCAGATGTATAGTTCGAGAATCTTGAATATTTCATTTCAAAGAAATCATATCTGTTCGATCAAAAGAATTCTATTCTTAGAATGCGTACATCAATCGTTCTTCACATCTGGTGAGGTTTTAATGAAATTTTTATTACAATGCCATTTGCTATATATGTATATAGTTAATAAAGAAATATACGATAGATATCGCAAAATTGATATAAATGATCGTTGACCTTGCTGTTTATGACGTGACTGCCAAGTTTGCCGCTCCTCGAGCACAAGCTTTCGAGAGCGGAACTCTTGTCGGGATAGCTCATGATGGGCTGAAAAGAATAATGATCTCTTACTTCCTTGAAATAACAACAATAGACATCTCTCTGGACGATAGTAATTTCACGATGAATTTACGATACTTATACGAATTTCAAACTAGATAGAAAATAAAATAATGAAATAGAAATTTTCTATTGTATTATTTTATCATTTAAGAAAAATTTAAAATGATCGTTTTGATTTCCAGTTGGGTATAGCAATTGGTTCCTTTTCCCGCCGATGTTGGTGCAAAAGAACGAAGAAATTAATCAAATCGGCCGAGGATTGCACGCCATGTTCTACATAGTCGCTGCTTTTACCACCATTATTTTGGTCCTTATACTTCTATGTATGTATCAGTAATCATAAGTTCAATATTAAAAAATTCTCTGAACGTCTTCGATAATAAGTGAATTTAGATTTATATTTCCTCTTAAATAATATAAACTACATGGAAATTATTTTGAAAAATTGATTGTGCATATTTAAAAATGAATATTTAAGAAAACAATAAACTTTTTTATTATATTTATATATTTTTATATTCTCTAGTTTCAATATTATGTTGATTTTAATTAATGTATCGAAATAATTTATAATAATGTAAAATTATAGTATCTTATACTTACACCATTACAATTTTCAGTCCTCCATATTGAAATAATATTTTCTTGTAGTTTTTAAGTCTAAACCACCGCTTCCTCCGAATCAAGCACAAGCTCAAGTTCAGAGAGAGAACGAAACTCCGAAAAGTTTTTTCATAGAAATGAAGAAACTGGTCACAAACGTCGGTTACTTGTTACTATTGTTCAGTTATGGCATCAATGTAGGCGTGTTCTATGCCATCAGCACGCTTCTCAATCAGATAATAGTTCAACATTTTCCTGTAAGTTTTTCTTTTTAATGTCTACTTTTTCTTTATTTTAAGATTTATATTATTTCTCTATTAAATTTCTATTTATTATTGTTATAATATATCGTTTTAATAAAAATTCAGAATCAAGAAAAAGACGCTGGAAGAATCGGTTTGACCATTATCTTCGCTGGTATGTTAGGTTCTGTGGTTTGTGGTATTGTGCTCGATAAAACGCGCAAATTCAAGTGAGTAAATCTTCTCAACATAAAAATTAAGTTACATCATGTTTCTCTCGTTGATTAATTGTCTTAATTTAAAATTTGTCCATTTTCAGAGAGACAACGTCAGTCGTTTATCTTTGTTCTTTTCTGGGCATGATTATATTCACATTCATTCTAATATCCACCAGTCAAATATTCACCATTTATATAATAGCTGGCATGTTAGGGTAAGAATAACTGTTATTTCTTAATTTTCATTAAGAATTCAGAATATTTAATGAAATTCAATTATTATTTTTATTTTTATTTTATCCTTTAGTCAACATACTTTATAAATCCTGTATAAATCTAATCTATGAACTCTCCAAAAGTATTTATGATTTATCATTCTCACTTTCAATGTTTACAAAAACTTTTAAAAAGCTGAAATTTTTCTCAAAAATATTATAAGTTCATGATCTGCATTAATAATTTTATATAACTTATCTATATACACAACTAAAATACATTAAAATAGTAATAAAAATCTAATTTACTACATAAAATCTTTAATATGATTTTGAATTCTTCTCAAAATATTTTTTCAGATTCTTTATGACTGGCTATCTTCCAGTGGGTTTTGAATTTGCCGCAGAATTGACATATCCGCAATCAGAAGGAACATCCGCTGGCTTATTAAACGCAATGTGCCAAGTATTCGGTATTATCTTCACAATTATCTACGGTTATTGTTTGAACGTTTGGGGTGATTTTTGGGCGAATATTTTCCTCTGTATTGCGCTAGCCCTTGGTTCATTCCTCACCATCATCATTCCCAATGATCTTCGAAGACAGAACGTTTTAAAAAATTCCATGGTTGAAGGTTGAGAGATAGAAAGTTGAAGAATGATCGACTAGTCTTTGTTGTGATCAATGATATTGCGAATGTAGACTTTCCTATGAATATCTTTCTATGAAGATAGATGAGAAAAATGAATTATTATAGGTTGTCCAAAGATAGTTGATTTTGATAAAATGTCAGGTAAAATTGCATAGAATCGTCTGCCTCATGTTATCTACTGTTATTATCATTATTCTATTCTTTCATATATATTCTTTCAATATTTTTATATTTTACATTTATATGTATAATATTTTTTTTATTGAATTCAATTCTTAAATAACATTTAAAAATAGATTTCTTAATACATAAAAATATGATGTAATTAGTTTTAAAATCAAGAAGGTTAATATGCAAGATGACAAAATATTGAAATAATATTTCATGTGAACATGAATATATCAAATAATGACAAGAGTAGATAAAGCAAACAATAATTTTGGGCATGGTTCAAGATCTGAAATTGTGTTGGAACATTCCATATTATTTTTATTATTTTTTTATTATCTTTGTTTCAAAAGTACTAAATAGAAGTTCTAATTTATTTATAAATTAATTGAGATTAATCGTTGACTATTTAAAAAATCACTGTCTTATACTTACATTTAATTTCTATCTTATTGTTTTTTCTTCTTTGTGCTGTGATGACACTTCAGTATCATTGGAACAATTCCATCGCGTGTAGACAACATCTGAAACTTTTGTGATGCATTTAAAAAAAAATTAAGAACTATAAAGCTACAGAACTAATTTTTATGTAGTTTAAAAAATCAATATAATATGATATTTCATTTTGTTGCCTATGTAGTTTGAAAAACAAAAATTTCTTTTTATTTCAGTCATCAGTAATATTATTTCTTATGATTCTGATGAACGAATTTTTTCTGAAACTTCAAATAATGCGATACGATGAAAAAATTTCGCATTTTTATGATTGTCATACCAAAATAATGCCAGTAGTCGATCAAATAGTCAGAAATTTAAAATAATATTTCGTAAACAATAGAAATGATGGTATAATAATAATAATTGATGCGATTAGATTCTTACAAAAATATTGAGATGCTATACATCTCAGGATAAACGAAAGATAGATAAAAATCTATTTATTCTCGTTATTTATGTAAATGTTCCCATTTAGAATAGATTTCTAAACTTAGGTCTTCGTCAAATCTATGAAATTGTATTTCTTCGATACGTAACTTCCATAGTTTATTACACTAAATATTAATCACAAAATATCAATCAAATGTCGTGAAATGAAAGAATTTTTGAAATTTAAGTAAAATAATGAAAATTTTTGAAATTTACTTTTATTATAAGCAAACTATAACTTTGTAAAGTTCATGATATATATAAGCAAAAAATTGGATAATATAGATAAATTCGATAATCCAGAACCGCGTAAAATGCGAGCTATCGAAGAAATTCGATTTGCGAGATGATCGAGATTCGAAATTAAATTTGCTCGAATCGATCAAGGAAAAACGAATTGTTACACGAAGGTTAATGTAAACGAGCTATCTGAAATTGAATTTTCTTCTAATTGAAAGTGAGTTTAAAGATCATTAAAATATCATCAGATATCGAATTCTATTTTAGATTGTAACATCATTGTTTATTCCTAGCTTGAAAAAAAGTTTATTTCGTTTTAAATAACCTCTAATCAACGACAATAATATTGTAGTTACACGTACAAAATGAGTATTAAGAAACAATTGAATACTGTAGTTATAATTGTTGTAAATTGTGATCGATAGACTGGAGAATGTTTATGCGTTTAAAATTAAAACAAGATTTAGGATATTATTATTACTTAGTATTTTTAAATAAATTATATTTTTTATAATATTTCTAGTATTTGACAAAAGATTTTCTTCTTTAAGTTATGATTATTAAAATACAAATTCATATAAACATCTACAGTCTAGTGATCACTGATATATATGTACTATTTTTTATAAATATCATTGTGTGTCCATGTATAGTTATGGGGCCATGTATAAAAACGAGTAGGTACGAAAATAGTCGACAATAAATCTACAATAAGAGTACTAGGGATTCAAAATTGATAGAATAATATAGAAAATTTTGCTTCTATTTTTATAATATTCTTATAACACAGAAGAAAAAAACTTACACATTTTTCTTTCACTTCGTTCTTAGATCTTTGTGTTAAAAATACAACTGTACATTTTTTTTTTCTTACAAAGATGCATTATTACGAAAAAAGGTTATCAGAAAAGTAATTTTTGAAAGTGTTTGTCAATTAATTATCACAAAATCTTTTAATCGAAATCACGAAACAAATAAACGAAGTTCAAAAATTTACAGATATAAAAACACACGTGTACGAATATGTGTATATATTTTGTAAACTCGATATATATATTTTACATATGTATTTTATTCAATGCCGTCTGTATGTGCAAATTGTTCCAAGCATATCTTTTATAATATTAACAGTTCAAATATTACGATAATTACCGTATCTCGATGTGATTTCAAGACAATATTAAATGTTATTGTGTGTTAAGTTTATATTGTTAAATAATCTGCAGGTGTATCGATATTTGTGAAAAAGTTTTAAATGATTTTTATCAGAGCAAGTGTTTTAAGATAGATCATTCCATGAATAACATGCTTTTATTTGAAATTAAGCATAGAAACCAGAAATTTGTAATAGAGAAAAAATACCTAAGGAATCATGAAAGATTATATTTAATAAAGCAATCTCGCTTTATTAATTTTGCTGTATCAGCAACGATTAACTTTTTATGGAAACGAAAATGTAATACAGTGCATGTACAGTGTCTATATCCAAATGGACAATAATTATTTTATTAAATAACTGGAAAATTATTCCAATATGAATGGATGGAGTTTTATTCTTTTCTTTTTTTCTTTTTTTTTGTTTTGAATTACATTCCTCTTTTTTATATTATTATTATATTATTATTATTACATAAAAATCGATTAAGAAATTTTTCTATTAATTGTTTACATAAAAAGAAAAGAATAAAGCGATCAAAATTATATTTGAAATAATCATCTTTAATCAACCAAGAATATTTATAATCTTCCATTTTTTTTTAATTTTGCGTTTTCGAATGTATAATATTTGTGATTCGTTAGTCATTTTGTAAATAAATTATAGGAATTTAAACAAGTTCTTTTAAGTTTTGTTATAAGCTTTATGCGAAAATCGTTTTGTGACGCACATTTTTCCCAAAATCAGAAATGAGTGGGGTAAATCGAGTAAAAAGTATCTGTGATTCTTGACAATATCCGCCATTCGATTATCATCTGAATATGTAGAATGATAAGAAGCTTTGAAAATTATAAAAACCTTAAGAAATTATCTGTATGTTATTGTTACCGTGTAATCACATTGAAAATGAATCGAAAAATAAATAAATATTTACGATAAAATTGTCCCGTTATTGTTCCTCCCCCTTTTCAACACAAAAACCAGATATATATTAATTAAAGTAACATTATAATTAAAACAATTAAATCAGAAAAAGAAAATAAATTTTAATTTGAGAAAAACACACGTAAAATTACAAAAATTATGAATAAAAAAATATTTATATTATAAAACGAAAAAAATTTATGTATTATTGTATTATACATAAATATATGTATTATTATTATATAAAAATTTATTATTTTTTTATCAATATGAATTTCATATTTAATTATCTATACTTATAATCGTATTTAGATGAAATATATTTGTATCATTTTTCTACTAAGAAATATTTAAAATACTTTTTATTAAAAAATTTTTAAATGATTTTGGTAATTATACATTTTTATACATTAATGTAACATTGTTTTCTAGATCTGCTGAGCACTCTTAAAGACTTTTCTAATAACGATAATAAGATAATATGAAACATAAGAAGTATTTTGATAACTTCTTATCGAAATATATTTTCCTAATAAGAAAATCGAGAAACGGGAATAATAGGAAAACAGAAGAATGTATTACAATATTTTATTCTCTTATAGAATTATGTTTTCCTAATAAGAAATTTAGTCATATAGAAATAGGATAATAGAAGTGAAAGAGATATCGTAAAACCTTCTCTACGATCATGTTCTTCTAATAAGAGAATTCATTTTTCGACGCTTGAAGAACGTCGATGGAAGCTTTGTCGATATTGAATTAATATGCGCAAATTATTATTTAAATAATATTGATAATTTAATAAATTAAAGATTTAAATGTAAAATAAATAATATTAAAATATTAAAAGAATATACAATATAATTATTATTAATGAGAAAAACATTTTTATAAATTATTCTATTTATTATTCATTAATTAAATAATTAAAATAATATTATACAATACATTAATATGTAACAAAAATAATACATGTTTTAAAAAGTTGGTAAATTTGATAAATTATAAATTTATTTATAATTCTATTATATTAATAAAGTAAAAAAAATAATAAATCAATTGTATAATATTAAAAATCATAAAGTTTAAATAAATTATATAAAAATATTCAATATTCGTTTAAAATCTGTATTATTATCAATATTATTTTAAATGCATAGATTCACGAACTATGTATATTTATTAAATGAGAAAGTTATATATCGAACACTGTTTAAAAATATCGAGCATTAAAAATATTTCAAATTTTAAAACTTTTCAAAAGATGGCCCTAGTTATCAATTCTTATTCTACTTTACCCTACCTTTAAAGAGGTACCTTTGGCACTCAAAAGATGGCACTAATGGTTAATTCTTATCTCTATCTTTGTCTCATTGTTTTCTATCCTTTATTTATATGTTTCATTTGCGGCACTCTACAGATGGCGCTGATTTCAATATTTTTACTCTATCTCTGTCCTCTTTTCGCTATTTCCTTTCTTTGTCTATACTTGTTTTTGACGCGTGACCAAGTCTTTTCAGAGATGCGGGCATGCAATAATCATCCAATCAAAAATCCTAGCACGCACTCGACCACTCTAACCGGTTTTCAGGTGGACGTGTACCATACCATAAAATTAACGGTAGAAACTCATCGCTGCACTTTTTTAACACGTCATAAACACATTGAATCTTTTCTTTAATTCGATCATAAGGAAAACTTACAATCTCTACTTTTTTATTCATAACAGTACGCCAAATTTAATATTTTTAATTTATCGTAAATTAATTTTATAAATAAACGTTATATAATTTTTTAATTCAACAAAAATAATATTATAGGATTTATAAATTAAAATCTAATATATAAATGTATTATTATCGCGAGATTTCTCGCAATCCTTTATTACCATTTTTCTTACATTTCTTTTATCACAGTCGATGCTACGAAATACATATACAGATTGCTTCTCACGTGCTTCAACAATAAATATACAAGAAAGACGAAAATTCAAAGAACGAACATTACCTACACATTTTCTATTATTGTATCCAGATAAATATTCATTAATCGCAAAAATATATGTTTCAGAAGAAAAAAAATATGGAAAGAAGAATAAAACTTTCAACACTTGTTTAGCTAACATACTGAAAGCTGATGCTTATTATTTTGGTACAAAGAAGGCTCTTTAAAGTTCCTGATCAATGGTCACAAATGTATTTAATCAGAATTGGGTATAATAATATATGAATAGATAATTTGAATTTCTTTTTACAATTCTATGCAAATTGGAAATTCTTCTAATGTGATTATACCTATAATTTACTCATGTACCGTTGTTTGATTTTGATTACATAATATAACAAAAAAGAAAAAATAAACAAGATATTATCGCGATAAAAGCATCTGTTACAAAAGGAAATTGCAATATGCAAAAAGGATAACTATGTTTGAAATTATATCAATAATCTCAAACACCAAAGTTGATATTAACGACATTATACAATAGTTATTTCACACAGGTGATTAAAAAGGCACATAGGCGTGCATAGTCTGAGACATGTCGAGTCAGCGTTTCGCTTGTGTATGAAAAACTTAGAAGGAAGATCGTAATTATCACGTGGAAAATATAAAATGACACCTCTATTTATGCTCGTCTAACCGTATCTAAAAATTCTTTAAACATTCTGTATTTGCACTTAACAATGTAAGAGCATTAATGAATTATTAAAATAAATAAATTTAATAAAAATTTCATGTGCATAATTAAAAATTAAATTTCAAAGTGAAACATTTAAAAGTTAAAAATTTTAATAGATTTGAAATTTACAAATTCGATATGTTTAAAATTTAAGAATTCAAAATTTGAAAAAATGAAAAAGTTTAAAATTAAAAATTTCAAATTTATGGTTTTTCAGAAATTAATGCATTTATCAAACATAATTCAACAACAATTTAAATTTTACGCTATAAGGGTCAATGTTTATCGCTCGACATCCTCGTGAACATTTACAAACTATTCAAACCGCAAACATCGATTATGAACGTCACACTCTTATATACGTGTAAACGTATAAATATATCATATAATTATCACACAGAATTTTAAAGAATATCTATTCTGCTTTTTAGATCCATCGAGGATCGACCAATAATGGACGGATCTTTTCTAGATTCTAGAATGTAAATTTAAAATATTTGAAAAATTTCAATTTAAAAATTTTCGACAAAAATTGTCTGTTATAATTCGAGTGTATACGTCCTGCGTTAGTATGAATGAATATATATATAGGCACATCTTATTTTTAATTCGTTAAAACAAACAGTCGCATAATTCTCCAACTAAATATTTAATCCCTATTCTATGATAGTCAAGCGAAAATTCTCTCGTTTCGGCTACGTTTTAATTGCACTTAGAATCGAGGTAAAATGCTCTCATATTTGATTCTTTTGCGATTATCATCGAGATCGTGAACAACAGAATATCAATATATCTATTGGGCTCGTACATACAAAATACGCATGTATAACTATTTAAAATTATTATTCATCAAACGTTCTATGTATAGTGCCTTCGAAATCATTCTCAAATTTCATTTGTTACACGATTCTTTTGCCTTTTCGCATAACATTATTGCTGTCCATTAATTTCTATTATTCTTATTATAGCTCGTTGTTACGATTCATTTAAAATTCAATTTAAATTTAACAATTACTTAACAACTTATAATATTTAATACAATATGATCCTTCTATCTTTCTAATTTCTAACCTTAACCAACATTTATCATATTGAAATGAAATGAATTAAAAATTGAAATATGGACAGCACGAAATATCAACTATTCACACTCGATCGTGTATATCTTACTTAATAAATTCGATCTTATAGAAAATTTCTCAAGGAACATATCCACAGAAACACGCTTCTCTATCCACCACTCTTCCCGCAGAAAATCTTTTCTCGTCCTTCGTTCTCCCTTCTCCCAACCATCATTCCGGAAATCCTCGACAGACAAAGAAGGCACTTGGTTATCCCGGCGAGAAACGTCCACGATACAGAATGAAGGTTGAACGACGATGCATGGCTCGCGAGCATACTTGGAGGAGTCATTAAGGCCGCTCCTCCTCCACGGTCAATCTCCATGATGGCGGCCATTTCGCTTCTCTCCCGCCGTTTTTCGTTAGATATCGACTGATCTCGATGCATCATCGCGAGGGAACAAACTCAGAAGCTGCCGCACTCGCGCAATACGCGATTTCCGAGCGGCATCGGTGGACGGAAGTTGTTGATTACCTGCAACACAAAGGCGGCTGAATTAGGAAAAGCGGAACCGTGATTCCGCCGATTGAAAATTCATTCATTTTCATGAACGGTGTAACGGTTGACGCGACGGTGAAAATAAAAGGAAGGAGAGAAGGCGGGGAGAGAGAAGAGGAAGGAAAAAGATAGGTGAAGCGGTGACACCCTCGCGAGAAAGAAAGATTAATCGAAGTAAGAGAGTAAGTGTTTGATGGGCGTTTCGTTCCCCGTCTTCGTGGATGAAACGATGAAAATTTATGATTTAATTAAATTTTGTTTAATAAATAATGAGGAATAAAAGAGTGGAGAAGAATTGTTGGATTACTGAGCTTGTCAAAATTGGTTTCTAGAATTTTGTACATTTAGTAATATTAAAATTCAATTCTGTTTTGTTTCATACACCGAGTTGTGAAATTTTTGCTGGAAATATTTTAACATTATCTACTTTGGTTAATGGAGTTTCTTTGTTTTGTTTTTAATAGTCGCTAATTTATAGAAACAAAGAAGGAAACGCCTTGAAGAGCGAAATAAATCTGTTGGCGAGAAAAAATATTAGCAATTCATGATTTAATGAAGATTTTCCACGTTGATATAAATAAACGAATGAACTGTTCGTTTGTTATACTGCTATGAATCAATCATTGTTGCTATAAATATTTTATAGCGGGTGTAAGAGATCTTCGAGATTTGAATCAAAATTTTATTTGATCTCATTTAAAACTCAATGCTTCGGATTATAGATGCGTAGAATCTTGATTTTTTGATCTAATAAAAATTGAGAAAAATGAATAAATTAAATAACATTGAATTCTGAATGCAATAAGGCCAATTATTCAAGATATTCGCGTACATTCTATATAAACACTTACCGCTCCATGATTTTCATGGCAGGGGCACTCCTCACCACGGGAGAATTTACGTAAATTACGGAAAATATTTAATTGATGATGAGACACCTCGATGCATTTCTTAAAGAGGATCCAAGTAACGCTTTCATTGCAAGGTGGTGTCGTCAACGATCCCAGATACGTCCAATAGCCATTATCATCTGTAAAAATACAATAAAAAAAAAAAAATAAGAACGCGAAAAAGAAAAAAATTATTCCCAAAAAATTTCCAACAATCAAAACTGATATCACCACGATAAATCGAAAGCGGAAAATAAGACAAAGCTTACATATATAACTTCTTGCCCGATATATTAAACTGGCTGCTAATTTATTAATATGTGGAGCGCGAGAAAAATGGTGACGTAACTGCATTAAATAATAAAATAAAATAATGCGCTCGACTGTGAAGAATTTCTTATTAAAATGACCTTCGTCATTCTTCAAAGAAATCGAAAATAATCGTTAAAACGTATAAAGAAACGATTTATATCCGTCTCTCTTTCCTTGAAAGGTAATTAATAAATTTTTTAAAAAGGCGCTTGGAAAACAAATTTCCATCAAATTTTAAGCGAATCTAAACGATTGATGAGAGACATTTCGTTTGTGATTTTTTTTTTTAATTCATTTACCAGGATCGCGTGGCATAAATGATAAGCTTTCTTCCCTTTAAAGAATCAAGTTGCAAAAAATCGAATGAAAGTTTCAAACGAATCTTGTTTGCGGTAAATGGAAAAGAGGGGGGGAAAAACAAGGCGATTTTTCATCATGTAGTATTCTATAAAGACAAAGGTGACCTATTTGACATAAAAGGGAATGTAGATTGGCGATTAGATACTAACCGGGAAGGAGTTTACTGGGATCGATTGGTTCCGTAATTTCTACGACTTCGCCTTTGTGCGAGACATACGGCAAAAGGCGAGCGATCTTCTCCATTTCCTCGTGCGTCTTTCCCACCTGCAATGAAAACATTATGCAACACATTCAATATTAGAATAATTATATATATATATGTGTGTGTTGTATGTTTATCAATAAAAAATTACGACGCGAGTTTATCAAATTTTTAGCGAATAATGGATGAAAAAGAAAAATCGAACGTATGAATAATTAATCTTAAAATAATTTTAAGTCTAGAAATATATAGCATGCACATAATCGTTCAATGAAAATATGAATTTTTTTTTATAAAGAACAATGGAATAAAGATAGAAACTAATTAAAATTAAAATTAAAAATAACGCCTAATTTATTAATTTTTCGATCTTAAAAAAAGTTCTGCGCGTTATTATATTAAAAAAAAAAAAAAAAAAAATAGGATGCCATCATATAGTGGCTGAATTGAAACTTATTTTTCGACAAATTTATCGCCTGCAAAAAATTAAATCAAATTATCAATAGTTAGATAAAAACTGCACGTAAAACCGCGAAAACGCGTATTTATGCTAGAATTTCAACCGGTTTTATTAAGAACCAGTTAGAATATATGTTACTGAAACGCGCGAACGAGAAAATAAAATTTCTAGAAAAAACATGTGCAAGAGTACGAGAACCTGTAATCAGTCAAGCATATAACCGATATTAATGACCGTACATTATCATTAGATCGTCAAATGTTCATCAGTTCGCAATAACACATACGTAGATTACAGTTTGTCCAAGAGCTGTTAATAATGTAACTAGCGAGCACAATTTACAATGCTTTTTTTTTTTTTTAGCCTCTACGTACACTTTAATTGCAATGGAACATGTGCATATATTACTGTGTAGATATGCATTTCCTCGATTGCTCTGAAAATACACAGTTAAACATAACGATCTATGCATTTTAAATTTTAAAACGAAGAAACATCGTAAGAATTGTGCTAATTATGAAAATTTGCTTTATTGATGATAAAATGTATCTACTGAAACGTTCTTTTTTTTTTTTCTTTCTCTCTCTTCATTTTTTTTATCTATTGACAGACCATCGTCTAATGTATCGTCTATTTTTAAATTCAATGTCTCTTTTATTAATAGCTAAGGGGAATATTTTTTTCCACTTGGCTATTAATTTTTCCATTTTCATTTGCTTCTTCTCGTTATTATATTTTATTAAAAAATTATTTAACCAATTTTTGCAAATAAATATTAGTTCTGTCTATCTATACTCTTTGTTAATTGATGATCTTACATCTGGCTGGTATTGCCTCATAATTCCTTTTCAATCTGAGAGATTTTGCAAGATAAATTTAATCGAAGAAACACGTTTTCCTTTCTTTTTTTTGCGAAGTTAAGAAAAGATTAAATCTCACGTAATTGTAAAAATTTTTCTCAATTTATTTTACGATAGTTATTATATCTCTTATAAATGTGTCATAAAAGTATATTTTAATCGGAATGGATAGATTTACAGCGTTCATAAATGCTGTAAATTTTAAATTTTAAATTTTCAAATGCGGAAAATACACGCCTACGTATACTTATACACAACTACAATTTCTAATAGATTTCGTGCAATAATACACGAATAACCGTGTTGATCCGATTGATTACTACAAATTCAATGGAAATGAATTGGTAAATAATAACCATTGTAAACAATCGGTTGCACAATATTACTTTTCGAATTATCTTACGATTCCACGCTCTAATGAACGATTGCATAATAAATGCACGTGTTCTCTTATGAAAAAATTCAAATCTTTTTATACACCTTTTGTAGGAGCGGAAAAATTTATTTTTAAATTAAAGACAGAACTCGTTAAAAATTTAATTTTAACAACAAAATTTCCATTTCGATTTAAACGAATTCCACATTTCGAAAACGATTGCAAACGATTACGAGTTTAAGATACGCCAATATATCCTGATCTCATCCAATCCTATTTTTATCGATTCCGTTTACTTTCAATCTTCATTTCTTAAATAAAAATTTCCGTTTCAAATTTTTCGAATTTTCCGTTCCAAATCTTCCTCTTCTCGCACGAAGATCGAGCAATTTCGATCATACGCAGAAAGTAGGAGGAAAGTGACGAAACAACCGGAAGTGAACGATTAAAAGTCGCGCGCCGAGCATGCGATTACGATTTGTCCTTGGCTACGCAATAGTCGACAAAAGAGAAGTTTTCACTCTTCCATCTTCGAAACAGTGGGATGCACGATCAAATACTTATGTAACGCGTCATCGAATCGATGATGAAGTGTCACTGTTACGGATTCTGCTTACGCTAGCTTACGAGGTTATGTAAAAGGTTGGACAACTATATGTAAATACGTTACCATGATGCATCCGTAGAAAAGGCATAAACAGCATCTAAACGAATTACGATCTTAAGAACGTAGTGTGTCGCCGTAGAGGATTTGTTGTCACGACACTCTGTTCCCTCGATTCTATTTGCCGATTATAACTCTGGTGAAAAGATTTTATTAGTTCGTTCAAAGTCACGTATTTCATTTTCTTCTACCATTCGTAGTTTTTTTATCTTTTGTTTTTGATTTCTTGTCACGAAATCTTTCAGACAATATTCCATTGCATATTTGAAACTCGTTGTCACCAGATACTTTCTATCAGTCATCATATTTCTCGACCATTGTCTCCGTTTAAAGACTTTAGAGATTACGTGATTTCGTTTTATATTACTATTTTCATTATTGTTTTATTATTGTATTATTTTTTTTTTTCCTTTTCGCAAGATACGCTTTAAAGTTGTGTTTTGTCACGTGGAAAAATTGAAACTGACAGTGTATACGTGTATATATATATATACGTATAGATCAAAGCGACTGATGTAAAAAGAATACTTTGAAGTTTAGGCACAGAATGATTACCTTCAAAAATACGCCAAGAACAGCAAGACCATCGGATGCTTTTGCAGCTTCGGCAAATGTGTTGTATTTACTTGTGTTCCAATGCACCAGATGCAACTGCAATGTGAAAATAACGTACAATGTAAATGGAATTAAAATAAATAAAAGAAATTGCAACAATTTTTAAGATTATTCGCTTCCCTCTTTCGAAATTAGCAAAATTTTATAATAATTTAATTAATTAATAGAAATGATGGTATTCGATCAATAAAAGTTTCGAAATATACAAAATGTATATCTTAATGTTAATGCTAATATGATTCTTACATGCTGGTATAAAATATTAAAAATATATATATAAATATAAATATATAAAGAAACTTTTATAAAAATGATAACATCAAAGTTACCACGAGTCTGTTAATCGATGTAAATTATTATGTAATTATGTAAATTAATTAACATAAAAAAATCAACAAATAATTGTTAAAAGTTCACATATGCATATTTTTAAAAGATTTTCTAATATATTTTCCTTGTGATGTTTATATCATCTTGCCACAATAGATCTTATAAGTTAAACTCAATGAATATTTAATGACTTGTAGTAGCCGGAGGTAACGATCATTAGAGAATCATGCAATCAAGAAGAAAGTTGTTCTTTGATGTTCCATGAATCATCATAATCCTAGCTCCTTCTAAGCATCATAGAAACGAGTCATGGTTATGCCAACAAGTTTCTCAAATAATTTATAGATAAGATTTTCGTTGCGTTAGAATTAATTAACAGATAATTAATAGATAACTCGTTTCAATGGAATACAATCTCGTGATAGGATTGCAAAATATTAAATATTGCAGAATATTTAATATCAGCTCTTTAGTATGACAATATTAGTGAAAAATTTCCTAATTTTTATAAGTAAACAATTTTATAAATTTCCATTCATTTTTATGATACCAATTATCAAAGAGCAGACACAGTTATTTCTCATTTTCGATAATTTCACAAATTACAAATATGAAAATTAACTCAGTCACTCACTAATTCCGAATGAGAAATAATTGTGACACATGATTTTATTATTTCACGAAATTCTGAAATTTTATTTTTTTTTTTTTTTTTTTTTTTTACTTGTTACTATTACATAAAAAGAAGAACGGAAAAATTTTTTCCACTTAGAAATAATGATCGATATTATACAACTTGTATCTTTTTTCCATGACCTCTATAAACGGCTAATTGCAATTGCTTATTTGATTATCATATTCCATTACACGTAATAACCATATATCGTTTTAATATCTATCATTCTTCTTTTCATTCTTCTCTATATATACAATTTTACTTATTCAATAATAATCAATAAAATAATAATTTGTATACTCAGAAGATACTCAGCCGAATGATAGATCCTCTCCAACGCGTTCAAAGCGTCAAAGATCCAAAGGAGAATGGACACAGGGAACAAGTGTATTTCTTAGGATCGTCGAAGAATGGAGTCGCAACCTTTTAACATCGCATAGTTCGTCTGGTTGTTTTTCTCTAACAATTAATCATGAAAGAACTTCTTCTTCGCTGCGTAATCATTGCCTAGTTCCTTGCTCCTTCAACCGAAGTCATTTCTCACGAAGTTTAAACTCATGAAGTTTGAACATATCCTCTTTTACGTAATTTTATCGCAATTTCCATACAAACGGCATAGACAATTGTCATAATACTTTGTAATTCTTGAAACAGGAAACAAACGTGGATAATAACATGAAAAATTATTACCAAATTATTATACAGTTATTATGAATTTAATCGCTTCGTAAAAATTGCAATTTGATTTATAAATTTACAAAATTTCTTTACTGTTTAAGAAATATTTTGTATATATATATATATATATATATAATTCTAACAATGTTTTTTAATTCGTTATTCATAACAAATTAAAATTTTACGATGAAAAATAATTACTAATAAATAAAAAGAAAGGAAAGGAAAAACTTTATCTAAAAATAACAGTATGAATCGATAAATATCAATAACATTCATATCAACGTTAATACGTCATTCGTATTATCTTTCATATTCGAAATCAAAGTTTATTTTTTTATTTTATTGTTCGCATGATTAATTATTTCGTTTTAAGTGAGAACTATATTCACGCTGTTTGTAATTTCGCAACAGCGATAAATAGATAAAAAGATTTTTTTGCCGTTCAATGCACTGTATATATATATATATATAATCAATATTAAAATGATGAATAAGAGAAATTGATATCAATTCTTTTTACAACAAAAAAGATTAAAAGCACCACGAGTTTATTAATAACTATTGTGAATCGATCGTAAATTAAGAAATCAAACTAGCAAGAAAACGTGTTATTCAATCAAAAATATTCGAATTGAGATTCGTGAGAAAATCCATTTTCAACTCGACTTACGATAGCAAAGGGTTAAAGATCCGATTAACGAGAAAACTGGTTGGTTGGAATCTTTCTTCCACTCACAGACAACGAGATACACGCGTTCAGGAACAAGGTCGAGTCAAGAAGTTCGTGTGATGGGTGATTGTGACGCGAATCATGTCCCCTGATGGTGAATTATTAAACGATCCGAAGCCAGACGCTCGTCGTTGGGAATGTTTAGAGTGCACGGTTAATCGGTGATCCCACGTGCGTCCTCTTAAAATCGTTTACAGCATAGCCTCCTCGTCTCGTGTTCGTGAGGGGAATCGAGAAAGATTTCCAGCGTTTCAGAAAAATATCCACTTCTTCGGAGTATTATTTATTCTTCGTGTTTTCTACTTATATATCTAATGTAACGTGAATCTGCGTTTAGAGAAACGAAAATTTTGGCAAGCGAACGAAATTCGTCACTGTCACATTTCGGATAACGGAGATTGTGATAGAAATTGGACTATGGATATTGCACAAGGTCCAATTGTTAAGGACGTCAGCATAAATGATTAAAGACCATAAATGATTCCTCTTCGTTTTTATTGCGCTTTCATTGTAGAACTGTTCTTAAGTCAATTTTTACCAATCAATTATATTTATGATGATAAACCATAAGCATCAAAATAAAATTTTCCAATTTGGAATTTATTATTTTTTTCATGCAAGGAGTGTGGATTGCTATCTCTACTAAAATTCAATATTTTCAAGAATTAATTATCTTTTAAATAAACTAACCTCTCCTGCGAAGGCTTGTCCATTCACAGTGTGCTCGGATCCCCTCGAGTCGCTGCATCCCCAGTGACAGTGATATTGTTCCAGTTTGTACACGTCGTCCATTAAAGGTCCGCCACTTAAAAACTAGTAAAAAAAAAAAAAAAAAAAGAAAAAGATCATTACAAATTTATTCCATTGTACGAAACAAATATGCTAAAAATAAATGTAAACTAAAAATGGAAAACAACGTATTCTCTTGATCTTGAATTTACCATCTTCAAACAGTCAAAATTTATCAACGAATGTAAAATCTTCGTTTCCTTTGAAAATACGTGTAATTTTTCGTCGACACCGTTAACGCGTGAAAGAATCTCTAATTTTAGTTAGTCCGACATTTCTGTTGTGTAACGTGAAAACAGAAGTCAGAAAGGCTTCCATTACGGCGACGGGGCGAACGCGGATCGTTTCAGCATGTTAAATTACAGGATACGCTTGATTAGCCGAATTACGCGAACGATACTGTCGAGGGGATAGTGGAGAAACCCCGCACGCGTCATAAAGGTTAAACAAGATTTATGGGGGACGGGTCAGAGTTGAACGCTCGAATCGACGAGTACGCTTTTCGAACCGGATGAAGAAGATCACCTGGTTCAATTGAATATCAATATATGATGTATTGCAATTTAAGGTTTTTTCTTTGAGGAATCTATTAATTAAATTTAATTAACTATCCGGGGAATCATACTTTTGATCAGAGTTTGTTATTATTTTTAATTAGGATTATCTTTATATAAAAATTTGATTAGAAGGATTTTCAACGTACCATCGAAAAAATTAAGCAGTATGTAAATAATGTATTATATCGCATTATTTATGTACTTTATTTTATCTTATCGCATAAATATTGTAACATTATCACATTCATTATTTTAGTATTATCGTTGTAAATTGTGTGTTATCTTTTATAATGTTCTTGCTAATATGTGTTGTAATTGTTCTATACAATACAAATTTTTGAAATCAACGTTTACGCAGTTTTGAGAAAGATCTTTTCGCTGCTTGATTATCGTAAGATTAAGAAATCCTTGCTCATGACTTTTAATAAATTATCATTAATGTTACGTTACACAAGTATTCTACAAGTGTTCTAAAGTTCATTCGAATATAAAATGTCATCTGTTTAAAAAGAGATTCGAAGAGATTGCGAAATACCGGTATGAGAGATTCGATCTTCTCATTTGTTTTAAAAATATAAATAAATAAATTGAAATCGTGTGGGCATGCATGTGTGGTGGTGTCAGAAAAAATTGAATTACGAAAGATGGAAATGTCAGAGATATTGCAATGAAGATATTACGTGGCAAGTAAAGTTTCAACGAGGTTTGTAATAGACAAATGAATAGTCACGTTCAAGTGTAACAACAATACGTATTCAAATTTTTATAATAAGCTTGTAGCACTTTTGTGCCATTCTTATAACTAAAGAATCTAATAGCTCATTGAATAACACACAATATAACGATAACATAATTGTTTTCTGAAGGTAGACAAGTGCAAATAAGAAACAGACGTGTGTTCTCGCCTATTGTTTAAACATATATTTATCCTGAATAAAAAAGAAAAAGAGGAAGCACGAGTGTTGTATCGATGTATTGGGCCATCGATTCCTTGAAACATTGCTCCATTTCCATCGTGCGAGAACGTTTCTACCGCGTATGAGCACGCATAATGCGTCACGAAATGGCCGTCCTCGTTTCGAGCACACACCTCGCGAAGGTAAAAGCCTCCTCGACAAGCACGAAACTGCCATTGAAACGTTCGAGGGAAACGCGAACGACCAACGATCCGCTTTGCACTCGTTCATTACGTTCGACGACTCTTCCTTCCATACCAATTACGTATTCTGTTTTCTCGTGCGATCATTTCCTATCATTATCTCTATTTCGTGGCCACTCTTATTCGATTTGCAATTTCTAACCATCTTCGACCTGCTTCGATCACGTTTTTTATCTATTTATTTATTTATTTTTAAGTAACGATTTCTTATTTTGTGATATAAAAAAACGGAAAAATAACGGAAAATAGTTCATGATTTACGATTTCGAATTTCGAATTTCGAATAGATAGAATAGAATTAAAAATACATTGTTTTAATTTGAATATTCAAATGCTTTCTTAATATGTATATTTATGTAATCGATCGAGCGACTCTGTTCTTACACAATCATTTTTTTAAAATGAATATTAAATATTAACCTGTTGCCTAAAAATACGGGATAATCGTATTTTTATTGGTATCTTAAACTTGTCCATTTTTTATATATATTGTATCTTATTACTCAATTTTAATCCTCCATCGAAGCAAGTTTTTTATTAAAAATTTATCTGATTAATATTTCAATTCATTATACACCATGAGACAACAAATTCGTATCACGAGAATTCTAGGAATTACTAGACGTTGAATCCTTAGGGATCACTAGATATTTTTTCATTTTTAAAACCATTTCATAAAATTAAATATCTACCTGACATAAAATATTCACTATTTCTATCCACTAAAAATTGAAATGATTCTATGTAATTCTATTTCGAATTTCTGAATTAACAATAACAAAAAGAAAAAGAAAATTATTTATCATTTCATGGACAAATCGATTAAAACATCAATCGATTGGGAATGATTACAATGCAAAACAGATTTGCAAACGCAAAAAACTAATTTTGGCACAGAGTTACAATATCAGAGACTGCCTAACGTTCAATATATTATATTATATTTATAGAACTCCCTTTTGTCCGTATCAACTTACTCGAACAAATTACTCGTTCGATTAACAAGTGGATAAGTTACAATCTACTCAATCCATACTCAAATATAAATTGTTTCTTTTAGAAAAATTTTTTTCTGCTCAACCAGGTCTTCGATATCGTAGATAAGAGTGGTAAAGTACAGGATAAAGTTTTACAGCCACGAGATTTACGTTATGACGAAATGCAAACGCGAGCTTTCCCTCTGACGGATTCCTGTTAGGCTCTCACAATGTCGGAAATGGACGATTAGAGCCACGTTTCGTGGCTCCTGCATGCAACCAATTAGCTTCTGTTCGCGGTTAATGCTGAAATCTACTTCGAACCGCTTCAAATTAAGTCCGTCGAGCTTCATGGACTAATATTTGGGCCATCTTGATCAAAACAACATCGTATATATTCCCTTTGGCCAAGATTCGATCGAAATTAGTTCGAATTAATAATCCATACAATGAAACATTCTATATTTATAATTAGACAAGAAAAAGATAATTTTAATCGAATTTGAATTTAAAAGAAAACGCAAGAAAGGATAAAATCGCTAAGAAATTTATCACGGATTTATGTGTTTTTATTTATTTCATTAATAATCGAGATAATGGTGTTTGAATATTAAAAGTTTATCCGAGAAACTCATTCTTCATTTTTGAAAGACGTCTTGTTGCTAATACACTGATAATTATCTTATTACAAAAAATTAAATTTTTTTCTTTTAATACACGCCTCATCCATCATTTTAATCCAGTTATTTTATTATTATTATCACAATTATTATTATAAAATATATTTTTCGACAAAGATCGAATGTGAGAATGAAAAACAAAGATTTGAAAAAAAGATTCTTTTTCCACAGGATCTCTGATCAGGGGACATATTTGCATTTCACAGTCGATCTGCAATTCAATGCTGGGGATCGAAATTGTTCTCACAGCGTGTACCGGACCTTTCAACTAACGAACGACTTCTTAGTTCCGCATTTAAATGCACGAACGAGCGTCACGATACGGCGTTTCTTAACCCCAAAAAGCTTTCTTTACCACCCGAATGATAAATAATATCCTCGGCCAAGCAACGATATCGCGAGATAAGTTCGTTCAACTAGTTGACAAGCATTCGTATTACACTGACGTGAGCGATTATATATATATATATGAAGCAATCTATGCATTGAATTTTTAATGCTATATAATATTCCGTATTTTATCGACTAATTATATTTTTTCAAATGTCTTTGAAAATTTTTGTCGTAGAATTCCAATCGTTCAAATTCACCGGATCAAATTTGAAATTTAACCAATTTAAAAATGAGAAGGTTTGAAAAATGAACTTACATGTGCCTTCGCCATCGGTGTCCATCCGCCAGCAGTAGCCCGGATTAACGAGTTTCCGGGATGCGGTTGCTGGATACTTCCAGCGCAAAGGTTTGCTACTTAAAGCCTCGTGATCGGATTCTACTTTATCGGTTTCGATATTGACGGGACTCTGCCTCGATCCTGCAGCCATCGGGAACTTGGACACCCATGTGCTTGGCCCTGTAACAAAAAGATAAATATTTTAATTAGTTTGATTATCTCAATTGTGTGGACGAGACACGATGAATTTGAATCATTTCGTTAATCACAACCGTGGTGTTGTGTACAAAATGATTGTACAATTTTATAATTTTATGGTATGCCAAGCTAAGATTAATATACAATTGATATGATTAGATAAAGTATTAAAAAGGAGTATTAATCATGTTAGTTTCATTGATATTTATTAAGAGCTTTGTATGTAATTCTTGAAATTCTGTACGATTATCCTTTTTTTATTCCTTTATATTTTAGATATATGAAGGAATTAATCAATGTTAATTGAGCATTTGTTCTTTTTTAACGAGAAGAAAAAATACTGCTGTTAAAATTAATATTATGCGAGATTAATTTATAGAATTATAGAATTAAATATATTATAATATTAATGATTAACGATACAATTTTTTAAAAAGAAAAAATTCCACTCGTTATATCGATCATAAAGTCTGTAAAATATCTCGACGTCGAATTATGATCCTAGATATAACACGATTTCGCAAGCGATCGAAACTTTGCCAATTATCTAGAAACGAAAGAAACGCAATGGAAATTCGACGAAGATTCGAAGATAAGGATTTATCGTGTTTGAAATAATGCTTTGAAATCCAGCCTACGACACTTTAAACGAGATAATACAGGTTGATAATATACAGTTTAATCATAGATCACGATTTTGCAATAGATAATGATCGAGACGCCAGCAAAAAATTTCGAAAGTTGTTCACTCTTATTTGTACACAGTATATTCTTTTTTATCCATCATCCTCATCGTATAGTTTATCGTCGTATAAATATTGAAACTAAGATTACATTTTTTAAATTATGATTTAAACGTGCTTGAACAAGTTTGATTTCATTTTCTGAAAAATTTTTCATTTACTATTTCTCTTAATACCAAGGATAAAAATATAATCGATTATTTAACTTTTGAAAAATAGAAAAAAAAAAACCTGATGGAACTCAAGATTAGATTTTGTGCGAATGAATTATCATGCCTAATATATAATAAAAATATATATTATCTGTTTTTATTTCAATGATTATTCTTTGGAAATAAATAATTTATCGATAAAGTAAGTTTATTGCATTGGTTAAAAATAAACAGAGTTTGATTCGATAGCTCGTTGGACAAGAAAGTGAATGATAATGGCACGCGAATAACAAGCGCTGATTATGTAATAGTAAACGCATCGAAACAGCGTGTATTGGTCCAGATAATCAGAATAAATTATTATATTGATTTAAGACTCACGTTATCACGGATGCACGCGTCACGTGCTACTACATAAACTTTCATCTTATCGTGACACGCGATTCTGATATTGGTCGTGATAAGTTTGCCTACTAAACGTCCTTCGATTAAGCGTTACTTAGAATAGTGATTGTTTTTTTTTTTTTTAATCGATATTCTTTTCCTTTTCGTTTTCTATTCATTGAATTTTTTGAAATCGTTTTTTTTATTCTAAACTTTATAATAAAACTTAAGTTTATATTTTGATGTGATGAATGCTTTTTGAATAGCAACAAAATAATATCGATAACAAAAAATGGAATGAATAAACTTTTTCTAAAAATTAATTTTCAAGGTAACCGAATTAGAAAATTGGCCAATTTTACTTGACTCCTTGACTTCGTTTAAGCGATACGATTTTATTCTACAGTGTTTCCTATTTTCACATTATCTTCTATCGATAGTTTATTCGTATCTAATCGGAAAATTTCGTTTTTTTGCTTGTTTGCCACTTGAAAAATTTTTCATACGCGATGCACTCGAGAAAAATTTGTTTACATCTACTTTTTCATGAATCACTTCCTTTAAGTACACTCTGAATATATAATTAAAATAAATATATACGTGTAATCAGTTATTAAAATACAATTCATACGATTCATCGTTAATTTTGAATAAAAACTTCTGCATAAGCTTTCAACAATTGTATAAAAGCAAATGCTGTAAAATTTATATAAAAAATTTAAATAAATAACTAAAATTAGAATTTTAAAAGCAGTTGTAAAAATAGTTTTAAAAAAGAAGACATAGATAGAGCACGAAAGATAGAATTGGAAGAATTGATCGTCGAGTGGAAATTTAAAAGCGAAAAGAAAAATAAGTATCGAATTTAAGAAGAAAGAGAGTATTTTACTTAGTTAAGTACATATCAGTAGCAAATTATTATTTGGCTACATTGGCTACAATTGATCGAGCGATATGAAGAGTGATGAAGATCATTTTCGGAGAGGGATAGGTCAAGGAGGATTTTTTCGTGTCAAGATCATGTGATATTACACCACGATATTTTTATCGCGAGATTTTGCAACAAACAGATTATAAAAAAGAAGTACATGTGCGACTGAAGTGAACACAGATAAAAATGAACAACACCTGAAGATACAAAGGAAGTTCAGATTTAAATATTTTACTATTTATTCTTGTAAAAAAATCGATCTTTCTTTCAATTTTCTTAAAAAATATACTAAATTCTTCAAAACGTGTAACTAAAATTTTCAATTTTATTATTTAATCATCTAATTCAGATTATTTTTCTGTAAAAAAAAAAATAATATATATATATATATATAAAATATTCTCTTAAAAATTTAAATATATTCTTTTTGTTTACCGCCATAATCACGCCACATATTCTCCTTTCTATTTATAGAATTTTATTGGCACGATTTGATGGTTCGATTTTGCGACATCCTTAACAATGGACCAAACACGAAACACGTGACAATTCATACGATTCTCAACGAATCACAACTTGGCAAAGTTTAAATTTCATCAATCGTAATTTTTTATGCATTACGAACGTCATTGCGCGTTTTCATTTTATTTCTCATTAAATAATCATCAATATTTCTAATTAGCGAACCAACGTCATCCGTTTCAACTTTACAAGGTTAATTTACCAAATGAATATTTTTTATTCCTTTTTTTTTTTGTTTTCCTTCTTTATTTATCAACGGCAACGAGTCAATTATTATTCTTCGAAAAGTGTGGCATGATCGTCTGTTCGTCCCTGGGATGGGAAAAAACAGTTGTAACATGCAGACGTTCTTTTATCACACGTTAGATTCCCGCGTGTTTTACAGCTGCGAAACAGCACGTGATGATGACATAATGCGCGCGACGTAACCACGATTATACTTGGTACGAATAATATTATACGCGTTATTAATTTGCAAAATGCCCTTTATAATGCCCGATCGATCGTCATTTTTCTTCCCAATTTCCCGCCAATTTGCACAAGATATAAAAAGATTAATTAGAAAAGATGAATTTTGATTCGAGATAAACGATTAATTTTTCTCTATTTCTCGTAACGTTGTAGGTTAACGTTCGGCTTGATTAATCATTTCCGCCATTTTTTTCTAATTTATCGCAATATGAATGAATAGATATGAATAGATAGAAAGATATGTTTTGAATCAATGAATGATGAATTTTTTGATATATGTATAAACTATTTAACATTTATAGTTTGATTGTTCGTTTCCGCCATTTTCTTCTAATTTGTTGCCGAGATATGAATGAAAAGATGTATTATGAATCGGATACGATTTATTAAATTTCTAAGAAATTTTTTCTGAAATGATAATTGGTATTGAATATTCGAAGGTTAAATTTCTGAGTAATAAAAAGTTCGATAATACTGTCAAAGAACCTAATACATATAAATATATACATACATTACATATGCTTGGAAAGTGATATAAGCGGTTATGGAATTCTGGTTCAATAATTCCGGTTCTGTAGAATTATAAATATTCTACACATCATCTCCACTACACAAATACAATTTTTCATATGAATTTTCCTTTCTCTTTTTATGCTTTTTTATATTTACATTTTTCTTCTATTTTTTGTATATATGTATCATATTACATAATAATTTATCAAATAATGCATTAATGTTTAATAAATATATATATTATTATTGAAATGATATCAAAATGCAGCCATCATTCAGTTCCACACTAACGAAGACTAATTCATCATGGCGAAGATGTTTGACGCGTCTTCCGGCCATCTGAATACACAATTCAATCCAGCATCTCTCCTATGCTTGTTGAGGACCTCCATTTATCGCGATCACAGAGCCCGCCGCGATTCGTGTAGAAAAATATCTGCTCGAGGTCGTCGAGAACTGCTCGAAGGTTCGTTCAACCTTGCCGAAGTCACGAGCGTAAACGTTGCGTCTCGATCAACGATTACGATTTCGCAGTGAATTTCTCCTTGGACCTTGCACTCTGACCTTCTTAATAACTCATCACCGAGGCCAATTCGTGTTTTGCTAAATGAAATGGCAATATTGTCGCATGAAAAACCGGACGAAAAGTTAAAAAGAATCAAGGTGCTTCTAGAAAAATTAAATTAAATGTTGAAATAAATTAAATTGGTGGATTTGTAACCTGAATTAAAAATTTATAACGAGATATTTTTTGAATGATATTTTTGACGTTATTGTACGCATATAATTATAAAGTCGAATTTTTTAATAAATAGGCGTGAATAATAGTCACACCTTTTAAGTAAACCGGATAAGAAAGATGACGCGTTGCGTCTTCCTGTTCGTACTATTGTGTACCATATTTGATGACATATGTCCATGCGACGACTTTAAACTAAGCTTAATTAAATTAAATCGTCGTTTCAATCTGTGTTGCTGATTAATTATGATTTTTACAGCTTTTTTCAAAAATTAAAGGAAAAAATTAATTCATTTTATGATTTCATAATTGAACATCGTAATTATAGAATTTTAATTATTTTTATGCAAAAATTGAATCATCGAGATTAGTCTAAGTGAGACTAGATATCGTATACTGATGAAAACAGTATATGAAACACCGAAATCAATATATGACTTTTATGTCTATAAGACAATCATCAAAATTTCATTCGTTTTGTTCTATTTCTCCACATTTCTGTCCAATTCTAAATAGTTCCAGAAGAAAATACAAGTGATTCAAGTATGTAAAAATTGCGTTATGAAAACAACTCTCGATTTTTTGAAAATTTTTCAACAGAGTTTTTTTTAAATTCTCTTCAATTATTAATTAGATTATTTATCTTCTTTTTCATTATGAAAACTTGGCTGTAGGCTACTTTTTCATAAGCAATCTGTATAATCAATCGATTTAACAAAGATCATCAATGACTGTATTCCAACGAAATATGATATTGTATAAATAAAAATCAACAATTGCGCAAGAAATAACGCAGAAACATCAACTTCGATCCTTTTATGGCCCGATTCCTGTTTGACCTGAATTTCTCGTTAATTATAGCAAGAAAAAAAAAGAAGAAAATAAGGAAAGAAAAAAAATATTCGTATGAATTTCAACGAAAGTTTCGAAGTAGTCAAGAACAATAAAATGATCATATCAAGGATTTCTTTCTAAAACGCAACACGTGTCTGCAATTAAAAGCCTGCAGCCTAAAAAACTTTACTTTCACAAGTTATACCATTCTGAATATTTATCTTCCATTTCATTTCTTAATTTCTCCGCGATTCTCGAATACATTACATTATTAATTCTATTCCAATATCTAATTCGATATTTTTCGATATTCGTAATTATCCGTTTATTCATAATTATTCTACGCGGCAAAATATTCACGATAATGACGCGATAATGAAAAAGATAATATGAATTGATAATTAAATCGATAATCGATAACGATATTCAAATTGATCAAAATAATCGATTCTCGATTAATTCCCGTGTCGATTAAGCGCCATAGTTTTAAATTGTCGTAATAATTGTCGCAACTTCTGGTTATGATCGAATGTCCCGTAACGATAAATATTCGAACTGATTGCCATTTCTCGGCCGAATTACCGGTACATGCTCGAAAAGTCAAACGACTTAATCGTCGATCTGCACGCCGGTAAGGAATTTATGCAAATCACAGTATCCGCCAGACTTCGCGATTGCGCCGGTTCAAAGATAGCGCTGACAAATTGGCCCCAGATTAAGGGCATTTCGGAGAGGCATGCACGGTAACCGGGTAAGGCGAAACAAAACTGGGTCTCTGACCTCTAACACACGCTTTCGTGTATACGTTTCACTTCGTTCTCTCTTGTGAGTATTTGCATCGAAAATATGCACGTCAATATCGCTCCGGTTGCTTAAATATTGACATTTAATCATGCGTAAAAAATGATTTATTTATCGTCGATTTAACCGGTTAGTTTCTCTTCGTTTAATGAAAAACTACCGGAACGATACGAAATTAACTATGATTCGATATAAGTGAAAAAAAAATGATTGTTTTTAGAAAGATATTTTGTTTTCCTTGATTGAATATTTTTTTTGGCAAAAATTTCCAAATGAAATATAAATGTTTATTATATCGCGATTAGCAGATATAATAAAATTGAAATGTATATATCTCGCAGTGAATTTTGTATAATGATAAATTTTTCACAATAAATATTTATCAAATTGAACCGAGATCTCATTTTATTTCGACGATCTATTTACGATTTATACGTTTAATTTGGATCACATTTAAGCATGTTATACAACGTCTACATCTCATTGCCGATATATTTAATTATTCATTATTCATCGCATAGTGATGTGTGTAATTGATTACATGTATATGTATACATTCTCGTGCACAACCGACTCGATAAAGCATACCATTCTATCTTTCAAGTCACTATTGCAGTTGTAACAACTACTACATCGATGTTCCTCGTTCTTTAAGCACTTAGGTATTTCGCGCTCATGACCCTCTCGAATTAAAGACGTGATATTCGACTACAACGAACACAAGAAACAACGCGTGCGTGTTCGTACCTCGTTACCAACGAACAACGTTCTCTCTATTCTCGTATTATGCTTACGTGTTATGGCTAACACATTGTACGACACGTTCTAACGCGATTCATACATATTTGAGGTTATCCACGCTCGTATGTGTCAGTACACGCGGATTTCAAGTACACTCACAATCACTGGTCAGAATAATATACAGAAACGTCTATACTCGCCAGAACAGGTGCATCGGCCTGAAGTACAACCAGGAAAATTATTGATTTTCGTTTACCTACTGAGCCGGTTGCTGTCCCGTGCTAGCATGGCGAATGCAACGCCGTCCCTTGGCACGACTGGGACGCCCTGTATTCGAAGACAATGGCCTTAGGTCAGTGAGCCTGGTGCCATCGTGACACCGTGTAAATCGAACCTGGCCCGAAATGAGAACCGATATGTTATCACGGATCGAATAGTAACTTTCTCCATTCTTGTTTCCAGTTTCCGTTTCAATATTAAAAAAATAAGATCGGCAATAATATTTGCAGGAACGATCGTTCGATAAATTGTTGTTTTTCAAGAAAAAGGGAGAATACTGGAATGTTTGGTTATGTTTGTTAAAAAAAAATTCCTAATCTGTTTTATAATTATAATCAAAATGGATATTGTATAATAATAGAAACAATAGAAGAAATCACGATACAAAATAAATTAATTGAAAAGATACGCAATAAAAACTAATTGATTAATGATATCGATTTTCAACAGAATCATAATTCAAAATAAAAAAGATTAGAAAATTTTTAGCGAATTTTTCTTGCAAATACTAAATATAATATTTGTATAAAGATTTTTTAAAGATTGTTTATTTTTATAGAATTAGAACAAAAATATTAAGTGATATTTTATCGATATCATATTCTTTGTATTTATGAAATATTATGATTTGCAAAATTATAAATTTTCAGAAATGTACATGTCATTTTTAATTGACGTACATCGGTATTGTTATAATGTATTTATATCAGATATTTCTTTTTATTAGATAAACAAAGGTATTTCAAAATCATAAAAATGATTGCATCAAACGCAATTGTTATTTGATAAAAATAAAAAATTATGATAATAGGATAATATATTGTGAAATAACGCAGAGATTGAAGTTCACGCAGAATAAAACAATAAAAAGAATAAAAACAATAAAATTCATTATTCTTCATAGAAATTGAATTTATCATATTCTAATTTTTTAAAAAATCTAAACATATTAACGAAGATTAATGTTTCACAACTATCTTTTTAAAAAACACAATTATGCTTATTATATATTTTAATGTAATTTTTTTTTATTATGTAGAGATTATATTCGTTGTTTTTACGAATGATATCGTGAATAGAATACATGAATAAAAAATTAGAGAAAAATAAGTAGATATTTTCATTGGCTAGAAAAATAATTTTATAATATATAAAAATTCATGATACGTAAAAATTATAATCGATATGAACATTCAATTTTTAATAAAATATATTTATAGATAACGCTAAATAAACTATAATTATTTTTTTAAATTATTTAACTTATTTAGAAAAGTATGAAATATAGAAAAAAAATTTAAGATAGATCTCGAACATTAGAGCGACTATTCGAATGATCGATAATGCATCAACTCTCGCTTTTCATTACAAGATTTATGGAATACCTAACGGATATCACAACATGAGTTATAATTTTAATCAATGATCATGTTAAATGGTAAAAAAAGAAAAGGAATATATAAACATGTTTTCAATTGAACAAATTAAAACAGTTGAGATAAATGAAATATAACTGATTATATTACTTTTTTTTATAACACAATTTTTCTATCGACAACATTGCTACTTTTTCTATCTTTGATATACCAGAGAAATATATAAAAATTTGAATATTTTATTATTCGATGTAAATAATGCAATAAGTATATTAATATAAATTTAAACGCAAAAATATGTATATCTGTCATATGTTCTTTTTTGTACTCGATTCATATGACATTTATATATAACCAAAAAGAAGACTCACCATTTTGGACAGAGTAATCCCATTCGCTTTTGTCGGCCATCTCGTAAAGGACGATCACCTTATTGAAAATTCAGATCCGCGAAATTAAGATCCGAGTAGAGTTTACTGCCGGTCGTCTTGTCGGTTTACAATTTTTTATTAAAAAAAATATGTCACTATATTGCGTTTTTTTTCAATTTATTATATTCGCGAGTCGTAATTATCGATAATTTATCGATTAGATTCACTATCAATCGATTTAAAATCAAAATAAAATCGAGAAACAATTGTCAAATACACCAATCGTTGACTAACTTTTAACTTTTTTCCGTGTTACAAATATTTTCGATTCATGGATATAAAAGTTCTGACTATATCAATATTAACTTTTTGAAATATGTATAAAAATTTTAAGAAAATTATTGATATCTATTAAAGATTGAAACAGTAAAACGACTCACAACACAAACCATCCACGAATGCGATGCCGGCCGGCCAAGTACTGGATTTTATACGTATGTCGGTCACGTGACTCTTACTATGGAAATGTGAGTGACTGCGCATGCGCTAGTAAATGTTTACACGTGCAGCGTCAATCCCCACCATATACCAGCTAGCACGTGCTTACTTATAATCAAACATGATAATTTTTATTCCAAAGTTTTCGAATTTTTTTATAAATTAAATAGGTTAATTTGATACGTTTACTTTAAACATTCATAAAGCAATAAATGATTGAATTAATCGCGTTTGTTGGCTAATATGAGTTCGTACTGTGAGAAGGATAGTAACTAGCGATTTAATGCTTTAATGATTCATTTTATAATCTATTTCAAACGAGAACATTAATCTCGATGAGATGATAAGGTAATATAATACGCTACAATTGTCCTATCAATTTCAATAAGAAAAAATCAAATACACTCCTTTATCGAAACTGCGGTAAACGATTTTTGTTATTCTCCTATTATTTTTTATTACATTATCAAAATTTCATGAAATGTAAATAAATATGTTTCTTGAGAAAAAATATGTTTTTTTGTCAAAGCTTCATCAATAATATTAAGAATTTTTCTTCTGTTTTTTATATTTATATAAATTAAAGTTATTTTATATAATTATTAAAATTTCTTGAAATATTTGTATCAGTTTGATTTTTTAACAATGTATAATTATCGTGATTAATCAATGATGAAAAGATTAGATTGATTCTTAAATATACTTTTTTAAATTTTATTCTGTTTGTAGTATGCAATTTTTATTTTAAATGCAACAATTTTTCTTTAATTCAACTTATAACTATTTCAATTTTTATATTATATCTTTTTTCTTCATGGGTTTATGACAACAACACATGCACAAATGCTAGATATTATTTTAATCATCGTTTCAGCATGCATATTTCTAAACCAGATGATACGAACTCGTTTATTATATCAACTGAAGAATCATGATCACACAACGAAATTGCGTTCGTTAACCGATGAATCACAGTGTATAGTCTTTAAGAGGTCGAGGACCGAAATATTTCCTATAATATATTTTCATTATTTTAACTATATTATCGGAAATACCTGATCTAACGGTATTCTAAAGTTGGCCAATACATTTACTAGCCTGAGGATTTCCATAAATACAGAAAATATATACCAATATAAAAATTTCCTTGTATTATAGTACGTCAATAGACATAATGATAAGTCACTAAATAATCGTCTCCTCATAAGTAATTTTGTCAATGTAATCTTTCAATCAGGTAAGTACTGTAACTTAATCCTATTAATTCTAAATCCTCATCTGTATGTATTCTTAAAAGGAAACTTCTGGGACCAAGATAAATAAACCTAAATCCATAGACAAAAGTTTATGAAACTAAAATAAAATATTATATAAAGATTAATGAAAAATATTATATTAAAAAAATAAAAATATTTACCTATTAAAATGAATTGAGATGCATTTCTACCTTAAATTATTTTTTTTTTTTGTTACAAATGAACAAATATCGAAAAATTTAGTTCAAGACGCTTGTGCTACTTTAATTTCATCAAACTCGCATAATATTATCACGTCAGTGTTATGTCATGGAACGTGCCCGATGCCGTGGTCGTTTTGACTTCGTTATACCAATAAAAGAGCCGCACTATGATGCTCTCAATAAAAAGTAATGAATTCCAGCAAATTCCATCGCAAAACATTAATCGACATCCCTTCTTCCATGTCTTCGGCATTAAGCAAGCATGAATGCGTTTTCCCCCGAAGCTTTTATAGTTTTCCATGCGTGATTTTTTACTTCAATTCCTTGTTCAATTTGTTTGCGGTTTATATCCATCATTATTTCGTATCTTTTTTTACCTTTGGATTTTTCAAATAAAGATAAATATTCTAAATTAATATATATCTTTCTTAAATAAAAATAATAAAAAGATTATTTTTTGTGAAACTTCATAGAAAAAATACTTAATAGAAAAAAAACTTACTTTAATGTTGATTATTACAGATTTTAATTGAAATAGATATATTAATTATAATTATCATTGAAAAGCAAGACAGTATAAAAAAAGACACGATTCACTAGAGCAATTCTCGCAAATAGAACTGATAGTTGCAATAAAAGGAGCAACAGAATCATGTAAAGATAATCGTATAATCTCTCTTTTTAATGATTCGATTGTACGTTTTCATTGGTAAATGATCAATGACGTGGTCCATTTTGGTGTGCTCGATCTAAACTGAAAAAAATGAAATTCAATTTTAGTCGAATAAGAAATAAAATTTCACGAAATTGTTTTTTATTAAATTATTCATTATAATTTAAATAAATTTTTTAATATTAAGAATCAAATATGAGTCAACTATATTTTATATCGTAGATAGATAGTAAAGGTTATTTAAATTACAAAAAATTACAGGATTATATCATAAATAAAAAGGCATTATAAATTTTCTCAAAATAGTAAAACAAATATATTTAAATAAAATTCTGTTTGAGCTTGTATTATTATTCATTCATCGAAGTATTAACCAACTGGATATTTCAATCACGAGTTATTTTGCATTTTAATTTCGAGAGTTGGTATAGAGGAAATGATATTACGCTTGAATTCTTTACGATTGTTACGTAATTGTCATTTTGCTTGTCCTTCATTGCAATTAAAGTGATATATGATCGAGTTCCTACTTTAAAAAATATTTTCGATCTGTATCTTTCACCGATCGAATTCAAGAAATAATTTAACAAGATAGGTACGGAAATAATTTATGTTAATCGCGATCGATGTAAATAACAACATAAGTAGACATGTTAAAAATACTAATTCAATATTCACCTTTTGCGTGATCAATTTATTTGTTTTCATAATAAATTTTGCAAATATATTATTATTGATTTCTATTTTCAACTGAAATATTATTTATTGATATTTATCACCAGTAAGTTGTTAATAGTAATAAGTTAATAAATAGTTTGCTGCAAATAAAATTTGTTAATTATTAAATTTATTTGTATATCTTATGCATCGAAAAAATTTTAAATTTTATTTTAATTAATATTTATTTTATGAATATTAGAATTTTAATCGATTGATATTTTATTTGATTTAATTCAATATTTTTGTGCAATTGTCCAAATTTCCCCAACTTTCTAATAAAACATATCTATTTGCTTAATTTCTGAATCATCTTGTCTGAAATTTTACCATATTCTTATCTTATTACAAGTGCACAACGTTTTTCAATTAATGTAATGATAAATACAAAATCATAAATATCAAAAATACCGATTAATGTATGGATATTATTAACAAATGATTCATTTTGTACTGATTTTCCAAATAGCTTCATTCAATTAAATAAAACAATCATCAGGGATTTCCATGAATAATATCGATTTTATAATATCAATCAATTATAATGATAAATGATTTAATTATTTTTTGATTTTGTAAATTAATAATACTAGGAATTTCCAAAAAAAAGAATCGTTTTTATATTTCATCTATTATCATTTTATGACATCATTTTATAAAATTGAGGTACTTACCAGAAACTTCAAAAATTTTCATGACTTTCGATTATATTATACTTTTCGTTGATTCAAAAATATTTAAACTTTTCCTATTTTCATTATTTTCCGAATTATTCATTAATACTTGTTAAAGTAAAATTTCCATGAATACATCGAATAAAGAGACGACAATCGACTTTAAAAATGTAACATAAAATCTATTATTAATATAGTAATGTAATTTCCAAAAAAAAAATCGAGATATAAAATAAACCTAACGAATATATATATATTTATATATGTATGTATATTTATTATATTTTATATTAAATATTAAATATAGAAATACGTATAAAATATTATATAAAATATATATTTATTCAACACAAAGAAATATACAAACCTTTATCTCTTTTTTCATATTAAATTTAGATATCTTCGATCCATAGACTATCATATGTATTTATTTTTGTAATTACAATAGAGACAAGAAAAATAAGTGAAAAGATGGAAATGGGATAAAAATATTGAAATTAGCATCATCTGCAGAATGTTGTAAATGAAATACATAAAGAAAGGATAGAAAATTGTCAGACAAAAATAGATAATATAAGAATTTGTCTACAGCGTCATCTCTTGAATATTTGAATAAAAATATTTCAAGTTTTAATATTTTTCAAAAGATGACGCTAATTATCAATTCTTATTCTGTTTTATTCTAGCTTTTCTATTTTCTTCTCTATATTTGTTTTTATTGTTAATGCATAACCATAAGAGATGGTTAGATTTCAATTGAACGTATTTCATTTTCTTTTCAAACTACAATAATCTTAATCTTAATCTTTAATATAAAATATGTTATATTTTCGACTTTATAATATATTTCTTATCAATATATTTCCATTAAATGTTGCAATCTTAGTTTGAGTCAAATTGATAATGTTAATTGAATAATAGTAAAACGTTAAATCTATTCTTATTTTTATGTAATGCAATGTCAAAAGTGAGGCTAAGATACGTTTTTACGTCAAGTTTGATCTAATTAATACTCTAGTCATTGTCAATTGTTTAAATAATAATAAATATTTAGTTGTTAAACATAAATTTTCAATCATGAACTACTTGCGATTATGCAATATTTTATAAATTATTGATGTGTAAAGTGTTAATATAAAAGATATAAATCTATATCTTTTTCGTCATTATATACAAATTAAGTAAGTATTAAATTATGAGAGAAAAGAAATTCAAAGATGCATTTTAAATATGTTAGGATAAAGAATAACAATTTTTATAAATATTATTATTTATTATTTGTCAAATTCTTTAAGTAATAATTTCATAATAAAACTAAATTATAAATGAGCTTTTATATATATATGAAAATATAATAAGAATTGGAATTTCAAAATATTTTGTAAATAAAATAAGAATACAAAAAATATTTTCATGATTCGATCAAAAATAGTTAAAGTTATAAACTCGAATTTGAATTTTAAAAACTTTATGACATTGTATATTACCTAAAAAAAAAAAATTATAAATAAAATATTGTAATAATGTTGTATCGTAATAATTTAAGGTCTTACCAATTATCTGTATTTTATTTCGGATTCCATATTAGAAAATATTTATACGTATATTTTCTGTTATTGCTTATATGATATATAAATATAAGGATCAAGTTAAAAAATAGCAAATAGACTTAAGAAAAAATTGAAAGTAGATTTTATTCTGGAAAAAATCGAATATAAAAAGACATTTATAATCTCGATTTAAATCAAAATAATGAATTCGAATTAAATAAGTAGAATTAAAAATGAGGAAGTAATATTTCTTGAAATTTTAGAATAATTCAATATTCCATAGAGAATCTTGAAACTATACTTTGCCATTAGCAAAGTATATCATTATGCACAAAATTATAATCAATTTTATTCCTTAATATATGTATAATAAAGATAAATAAAGCCTGATATCCTAAAATGATTTTATTAACTCTTAACTTTACACATGTTTAATATGCAGTACTTGTCAGAAATATCTGTATATGCGTGTATCTGTGTATGTGTGTGTTAATCAACGTTCTTTTATTTATCATCGACGATTTCATTCGAAAAGATGACCGTTAACGAGATACGATATCTTTTCGATCGCAGAAATCGAAGGAAGGACATTTTTACCTGGCCCAGGCTCCTATCCGGAGTTCCGTTGAAGCGAATAACGAACAAAAATAATTTTTGATAAGTATTATTCTTATGTATATACCATTATGTATACAAGAAACTGCTTATACGCAATGTGATAATTTCTCCTTCCTTGTTTCTCTTCTTGAAGTGGAACTTTTTCATTTATTCATGTCCTTTAGGAATCGATCGAATTCTACAATCTTTGTTTTATTCCTTGTAATTTTTTTCGTTTTTTCATTCTTGTTTCCCCATTGTCTGTACAAAATACTTTCGAATCACCCTTTATTTTTCGTAGGACAAAAAAGAAACCGAATTTCTTTAGTTTTCTACATGATAGTTGTTTTCTTATTTTCGTTTTCAGATCTAACCTCTTTTTTCTTTCTTTACATTTTTTCCTTCATTCTCCGTATTTTATAAATATCGTACATATTTATCATACATATTCGTCGTTTCTGTCACAGTAACACAATTGTAGCGCATGAAAATTACGCGTATGATATGATTAAAAGCATGATATGAGTTCTCTTGTTTATCGCAGGTCACAGATCGGAGATTCAGAAAGTTGTCTTTAAATGGTACTTCGCGATCGATTATACATATCGATATATTTTCTTCCACGATTCGAGCTTCTTTTATTTTCTTTTCATTGTATATTTTTTTTCTCTTTTGTAAAAAAAGATTTCAATCTATTTTTTTCTTTTTTTTTTTTTTTAAGATAGCTCGAGCGTGGATTGTCTCGTCGATCCGTGACATTTCAATTTTCTTGAACAGCTGATACGCTAAAACATGATACAAAAATAGAAAATACTCCCGAGGTTTTTAATTCATGCGATATATCGCAACGAGTTTATAATATCTTGTTCGTTTCATCAGAACGCAACTTCATGGAGTAAAATACCTATATCTGTTCGATTATATTCTGCGATAAACAAGACGCGATGAAAATGAATTCAAGAGATAGTCGCGTGTTAATATACTTACATCTTCTACATTATAAAGATGTGAATTAATGGTATTATATATTATATTGTAATTTAGCTTGCATACGAAACATCCGTTTATCACTCTACATACACAATTATCATCATCATTCATACCAAGTTTTAATAGGAGTGACCCCAAATTTGTAGATTTATTAACTACCTATTCATTTTACGAAAGAGTGAATGAACGGAGTCTTCAAATTCGAGGTACGCGAAAGATATCATATTTTTTTTTCTTTTTCTTTTCTATTTCCTTTCTTTTTCATCTTTTTTTTCGATTTCTCGCATTATTTCCTTCTTCTTTTAAAAAATATCAGGAAATTATCGAGGTATTGAAGAAACGGCAATGCGTACATACCCGTATCCCACGAAAAAAATTACAATTCATATTTTTTCTATTTTTTTTTTTTTTTCATTTATTCATTTATTGAAATTAGTCAGAATTCTTCTTTGCAACAGAGTAGTTTGTTAGATTATAAAATTATTCTTATAAAAAACGCGTATGTACGGAAGGGTGTACGGGTGTTTACGCCTGTTTATATATGTTAAAAAGTAGGTCTTATTACTTTGTCCTCCTCTCCTTTTGTTTCTTATTTAATCCCATTTTTCTTTTTTGTTTTAATTAATTAGTATTTTTTTTTTTGACTTGTTAACTATATAAAATCTAAATTAAAATTAAGTTTTCAACAGATTTAGAATTGTTAAAAGATAAAATTTTTTTTTAAGCTATAAAAAATAAAAACAAAGAACTTTAAATAATAGTCACAAATTGTTATAGTTAAAAAAAAGAAACAATTTCTTGTCAGATTGTGCGTAAAACGAGTAGAAAGCCCGTTGTACATTGCGAATAAAAAATAAAATAAAATAAAATAACATAAAAAAATAAAAAGAGCAAGACAATGTAAATGCTATATTATATGAGGTGGATCTGGCAGTGTTTTCAAACATTGATCTAAGTAACTGCAGCAGACTGTCTATCAAACGACAAATAGGTAATATACATATTATATATATATATATATATATAATATATTTGTATATATTATCATTAATTTTCTTTTATTCTGCGTGGCCTACAGCGCCAATGGAAGCATTTTGCTGTCACTCTGCAATGGCATATCGCGCAAACAGATACACACGATTAAGTTACGTTTTTTTTTTTTTTTCTTTAAAAAAATCTTCACATTTTTCTAAGTTAATCGTTTAAGTCTGACAATCGATTGTCGGATGGATCAGTTCAATAAAATTGTAGAATATTTGAAACTGTTATTCGTTTCCTTTTCAATATTCCTTCCTTTTATAAAATGGACAGTATAAAAAAAATCTTGAATAACTAGCAATAAAACTATCTCATCCGACGACGAATTATCGTATTTCTTTTTTTTTTTTTTATCTGGCAGCGTTATGCATTATAGGTACGTTGTAAGATTCGTTAAGTCGATAGTCTTTGATACTTGGAGACCGCATCTTTTTCTTTTCTTTTTTTTTTTTTTTTAAACTAGTAAATTGTGTTAAGTCATAGAACCATCATATGTGTTTTCTTCATTCACAGCAGGATACCCTTATTGCTTAAAAAATGGCACTGATATTACTGAAATATTTAACGAGTATCGTTGCTGCATATACACATCGGTTCTTTTTCCTATCCTCATATTATCAAGTAAAATACATTTCGCCCTAAACGACTTGGCTGATTCTAAGTTTCATAAACCTAAAACCTAAAATATCCGCTTACCCGGTCAGAGTAGTGAATCATTCTCTCTCTCCTCCTCTCTCTCTCTCTCTTTCTACAGTTTGAATTCGTTACGAAAGGCAACGCGTGATTTGTAATCCCATACACTCCCTAGAAAAAGTTTCCCGTGAAATTACAAGACGGTCAATGATGACAACAGTACATTTGTTAAAATAAAAATAAAAAGAGGAAGAAAAAGAAAACAAACTTATGGACGATTTTCCTTTTGTTTCTCTCCTTTTTCTTCCTTTAAATACCGCGGATAAATAAGCGACAAACGAGTACATATATATATATATAGATTATATATATATATATATATATAGATTATATAATAAAGTAATAAAATGGGCGTGACTTTTGGTGTGAATTCTCACGAACAGATTTTTCATCTTGTCTTGTATCATAATACCGATATATTATATTATATATTGATATTGAATGCCGGGACGAACGAAAGTATTTTTTTTTCTTTTTTTTCTTTTTTACTTAAGATTGTTGTATACGTTCAGAGATCCGCAGTTGTCGATTTTACCGGCAAACTGAGATTTCTTCTGATAGTTGGTTTGGTTTTGCGCGTGAATTGGGGAGTCTCCGAGCATCGCTAACATATATTTGCGCGTAGGCGAGTGAACCGTATTTTGTTAGGGAGGTACGTATGGAGGTGGTTTCCTGTACGTAGGAGTAGGTTTAGGACGATTCTGACGGTTAGTATCGCGATTTGTAGCGAATGGTGGAGGTGGTTGATACGGTTCCTCGGAATTCTCCTTTGGCAACATTGGTACATCTGCACCGTCTTCAGCTTTTTGATATTCAGGGGGTGGTAACGGTGGTTTCTCTTCTTTTAAAATTACAGGAGACTTGTTACCTATAATACATGAAAATATGATAAAAAAAAATATGATTGATAAAAAAATGACATATTCTATCTTAATAGATGAAAATTTATAAAATATATACCAGGATCTGGTTTTTCATCCAATTCATCTTGGAAAATAACCGGTATTCCCTTGCTACGGAAACTTTGTCTTTCGTCATCTTGTTCGCTGACACTCATTTTCCCACTACGCCTTCGTCTATAAAATACGCATGCAATGATACCTGCTAAGATGAGCATTATGGCGATTATTATAGCTGGCAGGACGAATGTGATAAGATAATCATCGTGGAATGCCCCAACTGAAGTGGAATCGTCCACTGGTGGAACATGATTGTCACGCGAATGAACGTCTGTTAATTCACCAAGACAAATGCCCATAGGAATCACAGTGATTTGTTTAACAGGGAATTTTAAGCCCATGATCTCAAGGACTTCATCTGTGACGGATCGACGATCATTATCACTCTTAACAAGTACTGAACGTAATCTGCTAACTTCTTCGTGCGCGCAATACGAGGTAGGCAAAGTTCTATTGTGCCACGTGATTACTGTGCTACCATTTGATATGCTATGCAATGAAATTGCATTAGTATCTTTATCTTGGTACAAATCTCGTAACTTTTCAATAAAATTACGCTTTTGAAGAGCAGAATGTGCAAATGATTCATATGGGATATCCAATGTCATGGAAAATTCTACTGTGTGTTGCATGAAAGGAGCAGAATGAACCACAACCACTAGGCCGTCGGTGGCGCTCGCGCCTATAACAAGTAGAATAAAATGTTATAAAAAATGTTCATTTGTCATATAGGAAGATAAAGATAGTCAATTCTGATACATCACCTTCTTTGTCAGTAACTACTAATTGATATTCTTTACGTCCAACATCACTACGCATTGGTACTCCATAAAATTCTTGATTTTTACTATCAAATTGCAACCACTCGTGTAGCGGAATAGGTTTGCGTTCAATAGTTAGCAGAGACATTTTCATGTTTCTTGCGGAACCATCTTCTGCATCGTAAAAAGTATCCTAGAATAAAAATTTATATGAAAAATCATTTATATCGAAGTGTATATTATATAATGCATTTTTTTTTTAATAATAATGAAATATGACACACCTCTGGTACTTTAAATACAAGTAATTGACCAACAGTGGCATTGACAAGATCCACCTGATTTCTTGGTAGTGGCGGGAAATTTGATTTAGGCTCCTGCGTGGAAACTTTTGGCACTTCTGGACGGGTCATATCTTCGCATTGTCCAATGCCTTGATAAACTACTCGTTTCACTCTGATTTCAGGGAGAAGAACATTTCTCAGCAAAGAACTAGGATCACCATTTCTATCAATCAGAACCTAATTCACAGACATGGAATTAATTTTTTATATTATATTATCTAAAAAAAAAACAATAGTAAAATAATAAGTATATTTACATGTAATAAATCGTTGATATAATCTTTAGGACAATCGCTGCTTCTAGGCAAACTATCGTTGGTCCAAGTGAAAATCGCTTGATCGCGATCGATATCGACTGATCTAACAGTAATATGTCTGGTATCGCTATCATCATACAATTCGGCTATGCTTCGAATTACCTATAAACCAGTAAGAATTGAATATAATATAATATAAACTATATTATAGCAGATCATATTATACCTTTAGCTCCCAGTCTACGTCTGTAGGAAATTCAGTTCGTTTATCGATCCTTAAATATATACTAAATTCATGATTTACAGTACGACTAAGCTTGTGCTGTTGTACGTGAATATCAAGTCGATCTGTCACATTTAATCCCTCGCTATCGGCAGCTACCAATTCATAGGTCCAAGTAGAAATATCGTTCTCCAGTGGCCTATGTAATAACAACTAATTATAAATTGCGAATTTTATTGCAACGAAATTATCATTGTTGATGATAATTCATTCACCAATGACGAAATATTATTTCTTGATGCTTACAATCCATAAACTTCTTGCGTTTTTTGATTAAATTGCAACCAGTGGGTGGGTTTTAACGGTGCCCCTTGTAGATATAAACTTAGTTTCAAATTCCTGGTATCTCCATCTTCCATATCACTGAACGTGTTGGCAGGTATGACATAGCTCAACGGTTTTCCAGCTGTGACAGGTATTTTCTTCAATCTTCTATCTTGTCTAGGTGCAAAGTTGTGAACTTCATACTCGGTTTCCGTGATAACTCTAGCTGGTTCAGTAGCAGCGCTGGTCGGTGCTGGAGTGGTAGTGGTCGTGGTGGTGGTTGTACTGGCAGTGGTTGGAGCCATAGTGGTAGTGGTAGTGGTGGTAGTGGTTGTTGTGGTGGTAGTTGGCGTTGTTCTCATCTGTGTCGTTATTATAGGTGTTGTAGTCGTAGTGTTATAGAATGTAACAAACGCTGTAGTTGTGGTTGTGGTTGTAGTGTTCGCAGGTACTGTGACAGGTAACAGAGTACTGGGTTGTTTCGTCGAGGTCACAGACGACTGTTCTGTCGGCTGAAGGCAGAAAGAAAATATTTTAATATTGAAAAATAAAAAAAAAAATTAATTATTTGTAAAGTTTCGATGCATCGTGATTCAAAAAATTGATAAGATAATTTGATCAGAAAATATTTGATCATGAAATATTCAGAAAATGGTACGAGAGAGAATCGTGCAAATTATCACTTTAAACATAATTTCCAAATATGAAAGAGAGACAGAAATATTTGTTTGAAATAATTTTTCAAGAATAATATTCCTTTTCTGTGGTATTCATTACAGCTTCTATGAATTATTGTTGATACGTCCTACTTTAAAATGATTCTCATGTACATGACGCTATATTAAATTACACTTCTAAGTTTAACTTTCTCATTAGTATCTACGTAGTTCCATAACGACAATGAGCAAAGGCATCATTCACACGATTCTCAACGCGTATCATTTAAAAAAAGAGGAAGATGGCTTAGGTTTGGGGTATGATACAACGACCTATCGTTTGGCGTACTAAAGCGACAGACTAACGTAAATCGATTCTATGCGTAGCATAAACTATCGTGAACAAACGAAGCTTGAAGCATTGAAGCATTACCTCTTCCGTAGTGACATTAATGGTACCACTGGTCACATCCGTTTCCGTCCTTTCGACAACAACAGTGGTAGGGATGGTTCCAGTAGTGGTAGTGGTGGTAGTGGTGCTAGAATGGGGTACAATTACCGAAGGGGGGATGGTGGTGAGTTCTGGTATAGTGACAGATGAGACATTTAAAGATTCAGTCTCGGTGTATCTGGTATTCTTCGTTGTCTCTTCGATCGTTATCTCTGATTTCTCCGGTGGCTCGGTCGATGGAACAATGATAGTCGGCATAATGGTTGCTGTTGTTGTATCTGCTATTGTTGTACTCGTTGTTGTGCTAGTAGGAGTACTAGTGGCCGTTGACGAGGGTGGTTGTTGAGTTGTTGTTGTTGTTGTTGTTGTTGTCGAAGTAGTTGAGGTAGTCGTCGTGGTGGTGGTTGTTGGAGTTGTTGATGGTGGTGATGTAAGTTCAGTGGTTGTTGTCTGCGAAATCGTTAGTATATGCGATGTACGGCACGAAAAACTTTGTTAGTTACATTATGAAGGGAGCGAAGAAGATGTAAATACAAAAAGTATAAAAGAGAAGAAAAAAAAAAATATATGTATATATATATATATATATATATATATATATAATATATTCTCTTCTTCTTCTTCTCTCTCTCTTTCTCTCTCTCTCTC